GTATTGATGAAGCCAGTACAAGTGATTTTCTAGCCGAGCTGTATCGGAAGCAGGAAGCTAGGGGCGAGAAAGAGAAGAAAGATGCGGAGATCGAGGAAGGGGATATGTGAGAACGAATGATCTCTTTACGGATCGGAATGGTTGTTCGCAACAAACATCCACAAGAAACAAACTCAAATTCGTGGTATAAGTGAGTCAAGCGTAACGATATCCAACCAATATCACAGTCATCTCCTTGACTCACTGTCAGAAGCACTTATTCATGAGAGGACATAAATCTGATTCCTTCGCCTCGCAGGTTCTTCTGTCTCTCCTCCCTCGCCTTGCAGAATATATCAACATCGGATACTTGACACTTCATCGAGCCGCCACCACCCCCTCAACCATTCCGCATACCGACGATGGTATTCGCAACGAGAACTGGTGGAAACAACGCCAGCTTTTGGCACCTGATTCCTCAAATGCTAGCACGAACGGCAGCAGTAACATACACACGCCAAAATCCTCTCCTCCAGCCTACGGTATGCCAGCCTGCGAGATGCAAACCTCCGCGATACAGGGCGTGAATCTGGAGTCGTCCCTCCAGCATACGAGACGCAAAGTTCGAGTTTCAGTTCATCGCCAGCACCCAGCCTACCTGCACCAGTCACACAGCCTAGAAAGCAGCACGGTAGACTTTACAGATGCGCTCAGGTTGTTGGGTTGCTCATCTTGATAGCGATTGTTATTGCTCTTGTTGTTGCCATGGTATATGGCTTCTGCGCGTTAGACGCGTGGCTCCAGTCAAAAGCTTCGAGCATTGCACGAGGGAAAAGCTAGCAATGGTGGTATTGATGGTGGTGAGGAGGAAGTGCGCTCGACCTGCAAGTTGCGAGTTTGGCATATTCCTGTTCTGGACAACCCTTTTCTCAGCAATATACACAACAAACTACTGCTACATCTACCTATTGCTTGAAACTGCTAGTAGTACTTTTTCAGTCACATCGACTTGACTCACCGAATCAAATTGTTGCATAAATCAAGACGAATCCAATCGAGAGAGATAATCTCAGATTCTCGCGCGCGCTTGCTGTTTGTGGCGTCGCAGCCGCGGCTGAGAACCTTCCTTTTGCATGCATTGATTTCAGCTTTCAAACTCGAACCTTTCGAACAACCCGCTCTGCATCTTGCCGTCTGCACCCTCTTCTAGGATGGCTCTCCAGACATGAGCCCAATGACCGTGATGCATTCGACGAAAGTGTTCCCGATCAGGTCATGCATGAACACCGGATCAATCATCCTATTCTATGAGCCAACGTTTTGAGCGATTCAGCCAACAGCAATCTACTATGCACATTATTCAGGAGAAGTCAAGCTCTTCATGATCCAGCTATACGCCCAAAAGTCACGATACAAGATTCAAAACAGAACGTAGGCGTGGAAGTCCGAGAAGCTTTCAGCAAGCCGCGCCTGATAGCAATGGCTTACGTCGCGGGGACAGCTGAAAGATGTACCTTCTCTCACCGGACACTGCGGCGGACAGCGCGTGCCTTCTCCCACCTGAGATTACGAGAAGTACAGCAAATCGGAGATTTTACTGAGGTCGAAATATGAATTTTGTAACTCACAGATCCTCCAATGCAGCTGCTAACCCCCAGTAAAGTCAAGTCGCAGTAGCTTGGTCTTGTCGGCGCGGCCGACATACAGACTTTCCAGGTAAGAGGTATGCATATTCCGGTTTGCATATCGCGATCCAGACGCTGTTGCTCGCTGACCTTGAGCTGAGAATGGGGTTCTACAAGTATTCTTAAGGCAGCAGAAAACCTGGCTCTTTGCCTTTTCCTTTCACCATCCAAAACACTACATCTCAGCCATGGAGTCGAATGGTAAATCTCCTGTCGAAATCGTCCAAGTCGTCTCCGCCGAAGATGCATCATTCCAGGATCTGGAGAAACAAGGACCTGGACACGAGCAGAATAACACAGAGGAACCTTTGAACGGAACAGATGACTACTGGAAGTGGGAAATAGCGGGTGTGGTTGGATCCGCACTCGCTTTGATGGGCATCATAATCTTCGCGAGCCATTACAACAACGGTCCAACACCTTCTTGGTCAATGACTGTGAGGAAATACGACAAGACCTTTACTGTTACCATAAACTCGATCCTGTCTCTTCTCAGTACCATGGCCAAGATATGCGTGCTGATTCCTGTCACCAAGGGCCTGGGTCAGCTCAAGTGGATCTGGTTTGCAAAGAAGGAGCGTTCCCTCAGAGATATTGAGACGTTCGAATCAGCCTCGAGAGGCTTGACTGGAAGCGCGTTGCTTATATGGAAGCTCAGGTGCAGGTATGAGACCCAGATCAAAACGATTTCTTCAAAGATTTATCCTTGTGTAGACATTTTGCTGCTCTGGCAGCGCTGGCGATGCTTATCTCGGTCGTCTACGACCCGTTCATTCAGAATCTTGTGTCGTATCCCATCGAGAATGTTAAGGATGAACGATTGGGACTTTCTCAGTCTGCCCTGCTATCGTACGCAACGACTTATGATGTATTGGCGTCTGGAGGTAGTGAAAGTAAGCCCACTCGAAACAAGTTGTCTGTTATCAAAGTAGAAACTGACTAGTCTGAAGCCCAATTGGACACGACGATGAAGAGCTCGCTGTATTCCTCGATTTTCGACTCTTCATCCTCGTGGGTAGCTCCGGATAACTACTGCGGCACTGGAAATTGCACCTGGCCAAACATCGCATCGCTAGGTGTATGCCAGAGTTGCGTCGACTTTGACGCTTATGGCATCGACCTAACACTCCCTCAAATGAATCGAACATGTGATCAGGATGGCTGTGTGATCTCTTTGCCTAACGGCTTCTCGTTGGGCGGACCGACTAACAACAGCCGCAATGTCATGGCAATGAGAACGACGGACCAACCTATTGTGCTCACCAACTTCACCAACGCGTTGGGCTATGTTCAGTCCATCTTTGCGATCAACAGTGATGCTGTTGACGAGTTCTCAACTAACATCACCGCATATGCACCCAATAACGAGTCTTACATTTACGCTCACGAATGCGCATTGTATATGTGCGTTCAGGTGATTAACACTACTGCGACAGCTTCTACTGGTGGCGACCCCAGAAGCTACAATCCCGTGGTCGAATATTCTCTGAAGGAATACACCGACTTCTCCATCGATGAATCCGGGACTATTGTGTTCCCACCGATTCCCCAACAAGACATAGACTCGATGAACATTACTAATGGCAACGCAACGTTTACCATCACGGCCACTTCAGCAAGCCTCCTGAACAACACCATCGCCCGAATATTCCAAGGCTACGTTAGTACCGGCTCCAACTCGACCGACTTTCAGTATGATCGCGACGGCGCGAATAACACCGATGACTCCAACAGTGCCGACTACATCCAGTCCATCTTCTTCAACAGTGCCCATGAGAATATGAATTCTGGACTCTGCCGTGGGCCCATAGATGCCGGAGCGCACTGGGTAGCAGGCGCAAACGGCGATGTGTCCTGTACGGTTAAGAACGTCGCCAAAGCCATATCCAATGGCTTCCGCTCCGTCTCCTGGTCGACCAGATTTTCGCCGGTCATGACCGGCTCCACCATGTATGCCACTTCGTGGGTGCGTGTGTCTTGGTTCTGGCTGTTTGTGCCATTGTTGTTGTGGCTGCTTTCTCTCACCATACTCATCGGGACAGCAGTGAAGACTCGACGGGCAGGTGTCAGGACGTGGCGTACAAATCCTCTGCCCATGGTATTCTTGGAGATGAGCGATGAGCAGAGGACACAGGTCAAGCAGCATGACATGACGGAGGAGGGACTGGCAAAGAAGGCCAAAGCCTTGAAGGTGAAGTTGCAGCTTGACAAGGATCAAGTCAAACTCGTTAAGCCGGAATGACTCGACAATTTTGGGTAGGGTATGCAGTGGGTATCTCTTACGAGTTTAGCATCTCCTTCAAGTTCAGCATTTCTTATAAGTTTTGGTGCATCTCCTAGCTCTTATCAGCAGTATACATCAGAAAGAGTCCTGTACATTTGTCTCTTGACCAGCAGTCCATTTTGTCGAGACTTTAGTCTCTTTTCTACAAATACAAGACATCTGAAGAACAACAACCCCGAATTCCCGCATTGCATATGGTGAGTCCAAAGATTTCGTGTTCACAACCAAGTAAGGGTCATCATGACTACCCAACAACTACATAACATCTTTGGATAGTCTCTTGCGTCTTGTCTCCCGAGACTTTGACAGAAATTACGCACGTAGCAAAGATCTGATATCTCCATCCGGGCCTTTCAACAACAATGTCGAGATCAAAGGCGAAGGTCGAACAAGGCAAAGGCCAAGGCAAAATCCACCAAAGGCAAGGTCAAGCAACGCAAAGACTGAAGCGATATCAAACCATTTCAAGAACCAACTCAAGATCAACATATCCAACAAGACGAACCACCCCTCGAGCAACCAGCGATCAAGCAGCCGCACCTCAAGCAACCACGCCAACAAGATCATCAAAACCAACCAACCTCCAATGGATCAACCTCCTCTCAACCAATCTCCCTTCGACAAACCAACCCTCGACCATCTCCACCAACTCTTAAAGGACAAACGTCAAGAACAAAAACCCACTACACTGCAAACCCTTATCCACACAGTACGCCAAACTCCTCGCATGCGTTTGTTTCTCTTGTTTCTGGCTGTTTCGCAGGGTGTACTTGCCATGTTTATGCTATAGTCAGAGGAAACTTGGTGGGAAGGGCGGTGATGGGAAAGTATGGCTGGGACAGTGCAACCGGCATAGAAGAGCACATCATGCAAGAGATGCACCTCGCAGCGTAGAGTTGAGGATTTGCTGCAAGTCCCCCACCGAGACTATTTTGACCAAAATCATAACGGAAAAAAACCCACTGATTTGCAAAACTTGCTCATAAATTTCGTTATCGTGTACTCTGCATCTACATCTACCACGTTATGTGAAGAAGCGAGGAAAGGGGAATCTAGTACCCCATGCCATATCCTCTGACCCTGCTAAATAAGAATGCTTTATCGTTCTTTAATCCAAACTCACCCCAATCGTCCGTCAAGCGATTGTAGCTCCAAAAGCCTTTCCAGGACAACTTGTTTCCTCCCGCGCTCTTCTTTCCTCTAGAGCCCAGACCGAATTGCATCTTCCACATGTATTTGGGTATCACGCCGTCAGTCTCTATATGTACGTCTCCTTCTGTTTCGGAGGTTGGGTCGTTGCCGGGGCCGCTCAGACGCCAACGCCCTCGTAGAGCGTCTCTCATGACACTGTTTGGCAGAAGTGAGCCAGTGGCATAGGAACGCATGTTTTCCTTGGTCAGGTGGTGGACTACATCAATAGGCTCGGTGGTTGTCAGGAGGGAGATGCAAGTGCCGTCGCGGAAAAAGCGAAGGTAGCGGAAGTAAGTCACAATGAGGATTGGTGTGCCCCAGGTGGAAGAGGAAGTATTTGTTGCACCAGGTCGCTGGTAATTCACCGTGCTGATGTAGCAGCCATTGAAGCGTAGACGGGGACGAGAGCGGAACATTTGACGCCAGGAAGAAGAGTAGGAAGAATGCAGCAACTCATTGTCGATTTCTGGCGTGGTTTTGGAGGGGCGCGGAAGTATTGTAAGTTGGGCTTCAGAGTCTGAATCTTGGTCTAGTCCTTCGGAAAGATAGGCTGGGTCGTCTTCGAGTTCTGGTTCGAGGGGTTCACCTTTGAGGTTGCATGCGTAGTTGTAGTACATGCCTCCGAAGCCAAACTCTGAGCCTTGGGCGACACGCTTCCAGATAGATTCGTCCGTCATGACGATGTAGGCGAATCTCTTGCAGACAAGAGAGACTTTGGCGAGAGAAGCCAGATCATTGATAGCGGCGTAGGTCAGAATCTCGGATAGGATCTCGCCGGGAAGCTCTGCGATAGGACACGGCGGTGGAGGATCGGCATCTGTAGGAGCTGGTGCGCCAGGGATAGAGAGGTGAGAAAACTGGTCCACCAGCTCGGTCAGAGTCGGTGGTAGACCGTGGGACGAGTGGTGGGCAGTTCCTGGCACAGTCTGACTTGCATTGGACGGGATGGGTTGTTGTGCTGGGACCTTTGGCTTTGGCGGAAAGGCCGACGGGGGAAAGTGCTTGTTCTTGTATTTTTCATGTACGCGGTCGTCCATCTTGAAGGCAGTGCGGTAGAGGGCTACACTGTCACCCAAGCTTCCCATGGTCTCTTTCTCGACGGCCTTTTCATAATGGTCGAGGGCAGATTTGGGCTCTTTCGTCAAGGCACCTCTCGCGAGAGCTTGTTCGTGTGCATCCAGACGTAGCTCGGCTTCTTTGTCTGGCAAGTCGTAGTGTACCTGCGAGGCAACGTCTTCTTCGTCGGCATCATGTTCGTCGTGTTTGTGGTGTTGCGGTCTGGGCTTCGGAGCAGAGGACGAGGGATGGGTATGCTTGTGATGGGTCTTCGGATGGGATTGTTCTGATGTGGATTGCTTGTTTCGTGACTGGACTTCGGCACGCCATTGTCGTCTGAAGGCTTCTAGCTCGGCATCGGTATCCTTGGGAGGGTCTTGCTCGGACATTATGGAGGTGTTTTGTGTTGGCGATTGTGGTTGATAGTCTTGACTCTGGTCGAGCAGTCTAGATCGAGACGGGCTCGTGGGCTCGGCGTGGATGGAGCGTGACGTAGGAGAGGCTGGGCCAGCACAACGGCGTGGTGGTAGAAGCCGTGGAGGGATTGTGCCGAGACAGCGAGAGGCGGGAAGAAGCAGAGGATATAGACAAGATGGACTAGGAAGAGACCGAGGGGCAGCGGTGTCTCGTTGTGGTTTCGTCGATGCAAGGGCGGTGGCTTATCGCCGAGTGCGAGGGTCCAAAGGCCGGGGCCAGAAAAGAAGCTTTTCGATGACGGCCACCGACGCGGGCGCGCTCGGGAAAGAACAAAGTCCAAAGGGCAAGCGCCATCGGCCCAGCATCACCACGCCCTGCGAACAGCATCATACACTTGTCGTGCATTTCGACTCCTTCAGACACACCACTCGACGCTCCATACTTTTCCAACCAGCCATACTCGCCCAATCCATCATCCGGGCGTCTTTACATCTCTGCCCCTCCTCGCCGACGCCAATCTTGCAGCTTCCATCGTCATAAAATCTTATCAATCAGCGCCGACTCATTCGACTCTCTCCTCGCTACACGACACAGCTCTTCATACCCGGCCGAATGGCCTATCTCGGTTCTCCTGCAGCAAATCAGCCTGCTACCGATTTCGCAAATATCCACCAACCCGCCGTCCCCTCACAACCTCTCGACGACACCCCTGCCGCCACCATGGATCAAGAAACCTCCATCACCCAGAAGATGCTGTCTGCCGTCTCTGGCAGCATCCTGACCTCATTANNCTTGGTGTGTTCTACTCCGTCGAATCGTCTCTGAATTGCCCCGCTAACCTCTCCCGCAGTCACCCCTCTCGACGTTGTGCGCGTTCGACTACAAGCTCAATCCGGTCCGTCNTCCCTCAATGCTTCTGCCCAGCCTTCCTTCGCACGGCTCCCTCCCAACCTCGGCATCTCCGCCTGCTGTAGAGAAATCTACTACGTCCCCAATCAGAGCCCGTACTGCATGGCCTCGTCTGCTGGTCTTACTGTCGACCAAATGCTTATATCTCAATGTGCGGCAGAAGAGACTGAGCGAAGAACCTTCAATTCAACCATTGATGGCTTGAAAAAGATTGCGCGGAACGAAGGTCTCACAACCCTGTGGCGTGGCTTGAGTCCCACCCTGCTCATGTCCGTCCCTGCCAATGTCATCTACTTTGCTGGCTACGATTGGTTGCGCGCAAATCCGAATAGTCCCATGAAGGATCGCGTATCCGACAACTACGCTCCGCTCTTTGCTGGTTCGAGCGCCAGAATACTAGCCGCCATCGTCGTCAGCCCCGTCGAAATGTTCCGTACACGCATGCAAGCCAGCCACCCCGAGGCTGCCACTCCGACTGGTGTGTTCAGAGACACGTTATCCGGTGTTCAAGATATGGTTAAAGCAGATGGATACCGCGCTCTATGGAGAGGTCTTGGTCTTACACTCTGGCGAGATGTGCCCTTCTCTGCCTTGTACTGGTGGGGCTATGAATACGGCCGACAGACATTGCACAATGCAAGAGAAGGTCCTGCTTCCCATGAACCAACAGGCAGCTTGAAGAACCGCGCTGTGAGCGAGCTCGACCACAAAACAGTCCTGGTCGACAGTTTCATCGCTGGCGCAAGTGCTGGAGCCGTCGCTGCTTTCGTTACCACTCCCTTCGACGTTGGTAAGACCCGCCAACAAGTCGCTCGCCATTCCGCCGATTCTGCATCCTCCGCTGTCGCTGGAGTCCGTCCCGAGGACAAGCTCATGCCGCGATTCTTGTGGCACATCTACAAGACTGAAGGTGCTGCCGGCTTGTTCAAGGGATGGGCTGCTCGCACGATGAAGGTCGCACCCGCCTGCGCCATCATGATTAGCAGTTACGAAATTGGCAAGAAGATGGCTGGCAGCATGAATGAAAAGGCTGTCAAGGAGTCATCATCATCATCATCATCATCATAGAGACTTCGATTCGGATTTGTAGTATTATCTCGGCCTCGTCTCTTTATTTGTTGGATTTATACAAAAATCAGTGCAGCGTGGAGTTTTTGCTTGGGTCTTTTGGGCATTGTTTGGCTTTTCTGCATTTTCGCTTCTTTCTTCTTCACTCATCCACCCTAGCGCTTGTGTTAGCGATCTGTGTTTTTCTTTTACTGTTTTTCGCATACCCTTTCTCTGAGAAAAGGAACAATGTTGGTTGTTTTCTTCGCTTCTATTTTCTGTACTACTACTGGGTAATTCAATTGGGAAGATACTCTGTTACCCTAGAACAGCTAGAATGACTGCCGTCAAAAATTACCGTCATCTCCTACCGCCAACCAGACCCTCGAACTTCTCATCCCTTCTCCTGACCCACCNCTCCAACTCTGCTCGTAAATCCTGCATCACTCTCCTAACCTCCCTGGCCTCTGGCGGCACACCCTCAAACTCTTCAATCCTCTGCTCGACATCCTTTACCCTCTGCATCAAGGTCTGAAGATTCGATTTGGAGGCTTCCACATCGGCTAGCAGGGCTTCTGGTATTTCCGCACCGCTGGCAGATGCATTGCGGAGCCGCTCATCGTACTCTTTGACTTTTGCTTTGAGCACCTTGGTCTGACGAGAAATTTCTGCGGTTCTCTTGGGGAGGTTGGATTCAGTTGTGAAGGCTTGAGATGTCAGGGTTTGGAGTTCAGTTTGCAAGGAGGTTTGGTGGGCTAGAAGATTGGTTTTGAGGGTTTGGGTAGCGCTGAGTTGGTTGCGAAGGGAAGAGAGGGTTGTTGAGAGGGTGAGGAGGGTGGTTGCTAGGGTTGTGGCGGAGGTTGTTGTGGTGGTGAGGGTTATTGCTGTTGTTGCTTGGGCTGTGAGGTCTGTGGTTCCGTTTGCGGAGAGGGAGGTTTGGAGGGATGTTGTGAGGGTGTTTGTTGTGTCTTGGGGTTCCTGTATATTTGGGAATGAATACGTTAGCTTCATCTCTTCTCATACAATTGCCAACTCCCTCCTCAAAATTTGTATCTTCGTTCATAGGATAAATCCAACAACATCTCATCATCAAGGAAATCTGTACCTCACCTCTTTTTGTTCCAACTCGCTTAGCACCAATTCCTCAACACTACACAATTGGCTCCATCCCTCATCCGCTTTTTCATTGGCTGCAGCCAATGCCAGCAAAGCTTTTAGCGTTTCCTCGTTCTCCTCAAACTTTGGCACCTTTTGTGGAGAAGGATACTTTTGCCGCAGAAACTGATGAATGTAGTTCCAATCTTTGGCTAAGCGTTGCTGTTCTGCGGCTTTGGAAGGTGAGAATAGGGAGTATTCTAGTGGTGTCGAGGTTGGGAAGGTGGGGTGTTGATTCATTGCTTTAGCTGAGTTGTGGGGTCTTGGTGGTGATTCTTTGATAAGTGACTGGAGGCGAGATTGAGTTGGGATTGGGATATGGTATAGGAGCGGTCGGAGTTGTTTTGGATGTTCGATTTATTTACAGCTTTGTAAGGTCTTGGCGTCTATATATATAGATGGACTGGCAAGCGATCATGTCACGTTAAATCTTTCGCCTTGATGATATTGTACGACTATGATTCTCATCTTACAGGTCAGCTGCCGAACATTCATCTGTTTGGTCGATCTGGTCGTGTGTTGTGGTAGAGCACATGCGAGATCTCGAGAAAGTGGATTCAAAGGTCCGAGCTTTGACATCAAAAACGTCATTGATGCGCGACTGCCTTTGATGGAACTCATCCAAAAGAGACAACAATTTGTCCCTGTCACATGTCAATTCACTCTCACTCATCTGTCTCTCAATTCTGAAAAGTCGAGTCTCAACAAAGGACGGCTTGTTCTAAATCTGGGACTGTTAGCCTCGTCCCTAATCGATCATGTCTGGGAACAAGGCCGCGCTGAAGGCCGCCAAAGTCGCCCTGGATGCTGAAAACTACGATGATGCCGTCACTCAATGCCAAATCGTCCTCGCATCAGATTCTCAGAATTACTTTGCGTATGTTGGCTTCTTCAAGAGATGAGCTGATGTAACTGACAACAACCCCAGCAAGCTTTTCTTGGGACGTGCATTTCAAAAACAGAACAAGTTAGATGATGCGGCGAAAACATACAACTCGGCCGCAGAGATCAAGCCTGATGATGCGCAAGCATGGCTAGGTCTTTGCAATCTGTATGAAAGTCAGGGTGGTGTCAAGCTCGATCAATATCGAGAAGCCGCTCTCAAGGTTGCTGAGATCCAAGCCGCTGCAGACGATGCTCACAAATGTCAAACCACCATCAACAAGTTAGTGGAATTCACCAAGGAGAACGGAACAACCGCTCAATACAAACGCGCTCTGGAAGCTCAATTACCAGGAAGCCCAATTTACGAGTTTCTTGAGGGCCGTTTACCGAGTCCTTCGCATACCTACACTCGTCTGATCGAGATCACCGAAGAAGAGGAAAAACAGCGCGTCAACAAGGAGATTGGCGAGCGAAGAACAAGACTAGGAGCTCGCATCAACCAGGTTACCACCGACGTTCGCCGAGAAGTCTTTACNAAAAGCAACATTGAGGAGCTCTATCAAAAGCTGATTGACTGGACCAACGACGATGAAGTTCGCCGCGAGTACGAGCAGAAGCTCCTACAACGAGCGTATGATACATTGGTTGTCCTGACTGGTGAGGCAAAGGCCGAAAAGCGTGAGCAGGTCATGGGCATCGTACACGGCATGGTCATTATCAAGCACCCTTTCCTTCTAGCCTGGACCACAGAACTGGACTGGAAGGACGTCGCAAGCGTTTCAGATCTGGATGTCGGTGTTCTAAGAGAGTACCAAGAATTCTTCCCAGAGACCAGTCTCGGCAAAGTGCTCAAGGCATACCTCGACTGTGAGATCTCACCATTCCCCGCACCTCCAAAGGATCCGGAACAAAAGGAGGAGGATGTCGAGGCACCACTAAATCAGGAGGATAGAATTCTCTTGATGAGCGAGGGTCTTGAAGATGGCAGCAACTCTGTTCTGGCACACCGTCTTGTTGCAGAATACTACCTCCACCTGGAAGAATATGAGAGCGCAGCAGAAGTTGCTAGGAACGGTCTCAAGATGCTCGAATCAGAGGTTAGAAAGTCTGGTCTCGTACTGCAGGACAACAAGGACGCCTTCAACAGCACACTCGCCACTGCATTGGTATACCACCAGTCGCCCAAGAACCACCCAGAAGCTAGAGATCTGTTCAACGACATTCTCGCAAGAAAACCCAAGCACACTGCAACACTCATTGGATTAGGCCTGATTTTGGAAGAGCAAGAAGAATTTGATGAGGCAGTCAAGTTTCTGTCACAAGCGCTGGAACAAGACCCTAGCAACATTCGCATTGAGATCGAGTCAGCCTGGTGTGATGCTCTGCGAGGAAACTACGGTCCTGCTTTGGAGACCATGGAGAAGTGCTTGCCTGACTTGAAGCTGGACGACCCCAAAGCACGAGAGCTCAGGGCACAAACTTTGTACCGAACTGGTATCTGTCTTTGGAATCTCGACACATCCAAAACTGGGAGAAGAGATCGCAACGGGGCTTATGCCAGGTTCCTGTCCGCAATCAAGACCAACACCAACCTTGCACCTGCATACACATCTCTTGGTTACTACTATGCCGATTATGCCAAAGACAAGAAGAGAGCACGCCAATGTTTCCAGAAAGCCTTCGAGTTGTCTGGATCAGAAGTTGAGGCTGCTGAGAGACTCGCAAGATCCTTTGCCGACCAAGGCGAGTGGGACATTGTCGAGATTGTTGCTCAAAGAGTCGTCGATTCAGGCAAAGTTCGACCTCCACCAGGTTCGAAAAAGAAGGGCATCAGTTGGCCCTTCTCAGCCCTGGGTGTTGTGCAGATGACCAAGCAAGAGTATTCCAAGGCGATAGTCTCGTTCTTGTCAGCACTCAGAATCAGTCCCAACGATTATCATTCCTATGTCGGTTTGGGAGAGAGTTATCACAATTCTGGTCGCTACAACTCTGCCAGCCGAACATTCATCTATGCCGAAGAGCCTCATGATGGTATTTCCATGAACGTCACTGGAGAAAACTGGTTCACACGATACATGCTTGCCAATGTTAACAGAGAACTTGGTGAGCATGACGAGGCGATTGATGGTCTCCAAGAAGTTCTCACTGGCAGGGCCGAAGAGTTTGGTGTTCTCATTGCACTGTTGCAGACATACAACGAGAAGGCCTGGAGGTGTGTAGAGACTGGTTTCTTCGGCCAAGCTGCTCACAGTGCTGTTCAAGCGATCGAGCTAGCTCAAAAGATTGCCGAGCTAAGACCTCAAGCTTTCAACCTGTGGAAGGCGGTCGGTGATTCTTGTTCGATCTTCTACTGGATCCAGGATAGACTCGACATATTCCCTAGCGATACGATCAAGCAGATGCTGACAAAGGATGTTGATGTCAAAGAGTTTGGTATTCTATCAGAGATAGATGGAGTCGACTCAACAATCCTCGAGAGCTCAACCGAAGGTGACAAAGCCGTCGCGTGTCCCGAATATCTTGCCCTCTCACTGCTTGCCTACAAGCGCGCTATCTTCAGCTGCGCAAACGACGTGCATGCTCAAGCTGTAGCTTGGTACAATCTTGGTTGGGCAGAGCACAAGGCATTCAGCTGCAGCGACGCGAAGGCTGGCAAGAAGTTCCCTCGTGCAGCTGTCAGATGCTTCAAGCGTGCCATCGAGCTCGAAGCAGGAAACTCGGAATTCTGGAACTCACTTGGTGTCATCACCACCAGACTGAATCCTAAGGTTTCGCAACATTCCTTTGTCAGATCGCTGCATCTGAACGAACGTAGCGCAAAGACATGGTGCAACCTCGGTGTTTTGTATCTCATCAACAATGACTATGAGCTTGCTCATCAAGCATTTGGTCGCGCTCAATCAACAGATCCCGACTATGCACATGCTTGGCTGGGTGAAGGTTTGATCGCGCTGATGATGGGTGATAAGAAGGAGGCACTATCACATTTCACTCATGCTTTTGAGATCTCGGACTCTGCTTCTTTGATCTCAAAGCGTCAATATGCCGTGTCGGTCTTCGACAACCTGCTCACAACTCCTTCAGCTTCGAACGAGATTACTGCATTGATCCAACCACTATTTGCCTTAGAGCAGCTGCACCGTCAAGTACCTTCGGACCAGGCATTCAACCATCTCGCTTCTTTGTTCTCAGAACGTGTGGGTGACCATGCTCCTGCTATTGAGATGCTTACAAGTCTTTGCACATCAGCCGAGTCAGATTACGAGGCCACAGAATCGCTCACCTCTCTTGGTCGTTTCGCTTTGGCAAAAGCAGACCTTGCCAGAAACCAGCTTGCCTCCAAGGACTTCGAGTCAGCAGCCGAGAACGCAGGCACAGCACTCGATCTCTCTGCCGAAGTTGATGCAAGCGGTTTGGAGCCGGACAGCAGACGCAAGGTCCGCTTGTCTGCTCACTTGACTGCAGGTCTGGCCGCCTTTTATCTACAAAATATGGACGACGCAATCGCGGCATTCAGATCGGCACTCGAGGAGAGTAATTCTGACCCTGATGTTGTGTGCCTGCTCGTTCAAGTCTTGTGGGCCAAGGGTGGTGACGAAGAGAAGTCCGTCGCTCGCGATCAGTTGTTCGACTGTATCGAGAAGAACGACTCTCACGTCCCGTCTATTGTATTGCTCGGCGCTATCGCAGCTCTGGACAACGATACAGATGCTCTCGATGCTGTTCGCGACGACCTCGCATCCCTGCGCACCAACGACAGCATCTCCATCTACGACCGCGAGCATGTCGAACAAGTCCTTGGTGCCATCGCAGGTCTTGCCTCGGATGCATCAGAGATAGATGCGCTGGTCGAGACACAGCGAGCAATCATGCTTGCACCACACCAAAGCCATGGATGGACGCAGCTAACAGACTTGACTGAAGAGGCGTATCCAGCTCAAATGGCTCTGTTGACATCGCAGAGAGCCGTGCCACCTTACGGAGATCTTGGAGCACATGAGCTGGCAAAGGCGTTTGCAGGTACGGGAGTGGTTCGTGATGCACAGCGGGCGATCGTATTGGCACCATGGGAGAAAAGTGGTTGGGAAACCTTTGCAGATGCAGTGACGGCTGCTTGATATCAAGGTCCACGAACCACCTGTATGGCCTGAGGGAGTCTTCGCATGTCGTGCCATACAAAGTAGCAAGCCAAGCAAAATTCAATTCAACAAACAACCTCTCCATACGAGGAAAAAGTGACGATCGAGCGATTGACCTTTGGCAAACAGAGCTTGTAGACTCTTGGCTTGGGAATAGCCTCGTGATCTTCGTCCCCGGCCTTTTTCTTCTCCTCTTTTACCCCAGCTGCGTGATGTTTGGTATCGGCTAACGGTGATAGTGAAATCTGATTGTTTCAAGCCTTGACCTGGGGGATAGAGTTGCATTCTTCGTGTGCGTGCGTAAGAGGCTTGGGTTACATCTCGCCTTTGACGAGCTGTTGTTCGAGCTTGATGGGGTTGAGTTGGGTTTGGAAGGTGTGGATCAAGGTGTGTTTAGGGAATTGCGACCACCCCACGTGCTTCTGTTTGTGACTGCCAAGCAGGCTGTTTGGTTGCAACCGGAGCTTCCCTCCTTGCTTCATCGTGCAAACAACAACAAACACCCTTCCTTTGTATCCCTTCGTTTTCATCTCTTGATACACCGGTCGAGGGGCCAGGAACGAGACGTTTTGATGGGACTATTCAATTCTTCTGGTAGACCTCGGAACTTTGACCTCTGGCATTTTCGAGCGGAGAGGGGCAAGCCAGACCAAGGCTAAACGCTCTTGCGATGATGGCCCAAGCAGAGTTCATCTTGAGCAGGAAACCATTTTGACCCGCAACGAAGCGAACGGTATCGATACGAAACTTCGATCACGGTAATCTTTGGTCGGTGATGTTGGATTATCTTCGGGTACTCGAACACTACTGCTGTTCTTGGGTGACAACAGGAACGTCGACGGTTGAAGTGTTCTATTCTTGGATTGAGACATAACTGCTCTCTGCACATCTGTAAGTGGCGCATCTTGTGTCTTGTGTTTTTCTCCTCTTATATCTTGAAGAACTTGGTTGTTGTCGTCGAGCTGCAAGCCAAGGACTGACGGGCACTTCTGCAGGAACAAAACTGTAAAGAGCATGACTTCCAACGATCCGAGGCAAGAGACCCAAAGTCTAGGTAAATAAGGCTAAAATTACACTGCTGGTCACACATCTGCGCCCAATTGGAATGTGCGAAGGTTCAGAGATGAGGGACCGTTATGGATACGAGGTCTGAACTCCTCGTAACGGGTTCCTGGTTCCTGAAGCTAGGCTCATGCGGATCACCCTCGAGCCTCGTATCATGACAATGGCAGCAATACATCCTTGATATATAAGAGCTGCTTGACCTTTGCAAGTTACTTTTCCTTCTTCTCATCACACCACTACTGTCGTTCATCTTTCTACAAATCCAGCCAACTGTCACACTCGCTACACAGCACTAACTACACCTTTTAATACTCCGATTTCTATATCAACCACATTACCGCAATCATGAGATTCGCTGCTGTTGCCACTCTCGCCTTTGTCGGCGCTGTCGCTGCCCAGAACTCGACTACTGCAGCCACTGGCTGTGTTGCTAAGGACAACGCCTGCCGCACCACTCGCATGCCCGATGGCTCTTCTGCCAACCAGGCTCAATGCTCTGCCAACAACGCTCAATGCCAGGGCGACTGCTATGCAGCCTACAATGTTTGTAGAGGTACTCGCGGTCCCGATGGCCTTTCAGCCAACCAGGCCGTATGTGCTTCTGAATACGCCTCTTGCCTCGGCGAAAACCCCGTCGCTGCCTCTGGTGGTCTGATCTCCTCCTTCATCCCCTACTCGGCCACCGCCACCGTCAGCGCTTCTTCCACTGCCTCTGCCTCGGCCAGCGCTTCTGCCGGCTCCAACTGCGTTGCCAAGGACAACGCCTGCCGTGCCAGCGACCCCGTCACCGGACTCTCTGCCAACCAGGCCCAGTGCTCTGCTGAGAATGCTCAGTGCCAGGGTGATTGCTACGCTGCCCTTGGCAAGTGCCAGACCACTCGCATGCCTGACGGTTCGTCTGCCAACCAGTCTACGTGTGTCTCTGAGTACGCCTCTTGCCTCGGCGAGAACCCCATTGCTTCCACCGGTGGCATCATTTCCTCGTTCATTCCTTACACCGCCACTGCCTCTTCATCTGCTACCGGCAGTGCTAGCATGGTCTACATGACTGAGGTCGTTACTGCGTAAGTTTGCTCTCGTTCTTGCCATATCTCTCTGAGTATCATGCTANNATCCACAAACAGACTCACCACCGTATGCCCTGCCCCCACCGCCGGCGCCTACGTCACCACCATCCACAGCAACGTCTACACTGTTNNTTCCTCGGCCACCACCATCACCGTCACCGACTGCCCTTGCACTGTCTCGAGCAAGGTCCCCGCTGCTTCCGTCACTGGTGGCGCTCAAGGCGGTATGATGACTTCTGCTGGTAACGGCAACAAGAACGGCACTGCTACTGCCACTCAGAGCAAGCCTGCTGTCTACACTGGCGCTGCTGCTAACGTTGCTGCTGGTATGGGGTTCCTTGGTGCCGCTGCTGGTGCTGTTATGCTTTTGTAAGCGGTCTTGGAGTGTGGATCATTGGTGTATCTTGAATATGTTCCGAGGTATTCTAATGATCTGAGGACGAGAGGGTGGTGTGAGATGTAATGGGGATGTAACAAGTGGAAGTTGACAAACATGGAGATGTTTTTATATCTATGTATAATTATGGGAAACATAAGGACATTAATTCACTATGAATAATAATAGATTTGTCTGAAAACTTATTCGTGTTTCTCAGATTGCATTTTTCGTCATATCTAACTTCTTTTTCTATTTTCCTTGCTGCAACCTTCATTTTTGCAAGAATGGCAGATGGTTATATCAATCTTTTGTACTATCTTCAACACTTGCCTCTTTGATCACGAGATCTTCGCCTCTTTTCCAAACATTGATGTCCACGACAAAACCGCCCTAGAACGAAAACATCCACTTTCTTTTCACCCGAAAGAAGAATAAAAGACCTTCAAACAAGCATGGAACTGGTTTTGTTTCTTTGATAAATCTTTGATCATCGCAAAGATATCTCGCAAGTATGAACAAAGGCTGGCTATATACTAGGATATGCATTTTGCATCTTTTCGACGTCGGTTACGGATGAGAGAGGTTATTTGTGATTTCTACCTCTCTACTTTCACGCTCGATGGCAAGTGGGTTTAGCGAATGACGGTGACGAAAGAAGAGGAAAGTCAAAATTAGGAGTAAGGTATTGTTTGAAATATACGAAATAAGGTAGTCGTCTCTGATATAATAACTACTCTGTGATCATGATTGTTGCAAAGATGCGCAGACTTGCAGATGAGATAAAAAAACGATATAATGCCGCGGGAAGTGCTTGAGAGATGGTGTGTTCGAGACAAATGCAGGCAAAAACTTGAGCATATGCAATTATTCATGTGACATCTATGCATGGTTTCTAGTCTGAACTGTCTTTCGTTGCTTCATTCCGATTTCTTGTTTCGTGGTCCACGCTTGCTGATATGCTGTTCTTGATAGTATCGCAGTACCTGTGTGGGGGACAACTGATCGTGATGTTCGCAATCGGATGCTCCGGTCACTATTTGTGCGTGTAGGAGCTGCTGCGTGGTCGGCGAGCGTGTGTCGAGACCGTCATGGCCAGTTGTGGCGGGAACATTCGATCCGCGGTGTTATTCCTGTATCGAAAGGTTGGCTGCAATGTGTTGCTGCAGGGGAGGCCGGTCGCGCTTGTCTCTGATCGTTTCTGAGCGGAATGTGTGCATTAGAATGCGATTGGGCATCGCCTTCGACGGCTCATGCGGGCCGCATGTCTTCGCGGTTAATGGTCTGCACCTGTCCAGAGAGTCGGTGGTGTGAATGCAGATAGCGCTGGACTCGACCTCGTGGCGGCGCGCTGGGGTTGCTCGCTCTGTCTGCCCAGATGTGGTCCTGGATTGTCAGGGGACCCAAGAGAGTATGTGCTTGTTAAGATCCCAGCAATCGTGTGTTTCTTCATTAGATATCAGTAGTCCGTTCAGCCAAGAAGCACATTGTGCTTGAGTTCAGTCCAGTCTCTTTTGGTGTCCCAGCATTCCTGTAGCAAAGCCTTGACACGGACAACCTGTCCCATACCGGCGTTCTCAATGCTCTGCAGGCGTTGCAGCACATCAACAGCTTTACCAGGATCTCTTGCTTCACAGCCAGCAAGGAACAGAGGTAAGATGATATCCGGAGTGTCGAATGCGTTGTATCCTTTAAGTTCATTGAAGGCTTCCAGAATGGCATTGACTGAGAACTGCACCAGACGGGACTCGGACGGAAGCATGTAGACGCGGCGGTGAAGGTAGATCAACGCGGCATGACTGATTGCAGCGTTGACAGCACGATAGACTTCCGTAGAAGATGTCGATGACTGTGAGCAGGCGCAGTCGTAACGGGTGTGCTTGATCTCCAGGGTAAAGAGTTCCAGATTCAGCCTCAATTGCTGGGACATGGTTATTGTCTGGATTGCAGGTTGTCCAAGCAAGCGCCGCTCGTAGTCGCAACGTTTGGCCAATTCTGCAGTCCTCGATAATAGGGCTAGTGATTTGTTGGTGAAGCCGGCCAGACATTGGAGTTCGGGTCTTTGCTCTGCCAATTTGAGCTCGCGTGACCACTCATAGTAGGCGCCTTGATAAGTATCACTGCTCGCGCTTCCGAAAGTGTCTAAATAAGCAAACCACCTGCCGAAGAAGATGGTTGCATTGGTTCGTTGGAGACCTTCCTGACCAAGTCGGAGACTGTACAAACGCCGCGCCAAGCTAAGATGCTCCTGCCAGGAGATCGGCAAGTCGAATGCCAAAGGATATGATTGAGTGAGAGAGGCCAGCATGACACAAGATCCGAATGCTGAGTCGGTAATAGGCTCGTTACCTGAAAGCGCTACGCGCAAAGAAGGAAACACAGGCGTGACCCATGTCGCGATGCGGTTCTTGGGCTCGGCATGTCGCAAAAGTCGAGCCCTGTGACAAGCGGCGTAGGCTAACAAGAGCCGCAACAGATTATCATCCTGCATGGCGAGCTGCGGCAAAATTGTCGAAAAAGGATTTGATGGACATTGGTGAGTTACCAGCACGTTGGCTGTGTAATTAACGAAATAGTGAATGTAGATCAAGTTCATCGGGTTCTCCAGCAAAACACTAGGAACGGGCATCAAAGAGGCTGGTATCGTGACTGGCACAGGCGCCGAGTAGTAAAAGTCGCTCGAACATTGTTGCGGCGAGTCGATTTGAACGTCATTATGTTGTCCAAGTGCATCCTTGTCGTTGTTTTTGGGAAGATCGAGGTCAGGGAGACCGTGGTCGTAACCAAGGATATCCATCCGGGGCAGAGATGTTGTGGAGATAGAACTGGAGGACCGTGATGTGAAAAAGACGTCGGCCTCATGTGTTTTGAGAAGGAAGTAGCTTGTACACAAATAGGGAGAAAGATAGGTTCGTTGGGCCTAGAATTCGTTGATCCAGATGCGACGCTAAACACAGACAGTTTCTTCTTCAGCGCGGCAAGAAGACCAGACTGACGTCGAGTTCCTGCACTCCTGGCCAGCCGTGAGGCACGGGATCGTGCAGCGAGTAGCGGAGAGTGCAAAAGGAGAATCTCTCTTCAGAACACTCCTCATGACACTTCTCCATGCTCACGAGGGGGAGACGATATTATGAGATGCTTGTACACGGCATGTGGCAACAATAGATTTCGGCTGGTGTATATCCCTGTCCTATCAAGTCATCAGAAGCGCTTAGGGTTTCAGATTGGTGCCCACCGACTGGCTACTTCTCCATGATCCTGCAAGCCAAGAGCCAAACCTGGCGAGGCGAACGGCCGGATACGGTTGAAGTCTTGTGAGCCGCAGGGAACCTCGGAATATACTTGCCCCGAGCAGCGAAAAATATATATTCTACAACACACAACAATAGGGATGCAAAACATTGTTGGGGAGATAGCAAAACGTACAGCAGCAGGGATTCCCACGTCGTCACCGACCGTAGTACTAATCTGCCGTTCAACTGCTTATGTATGGCAGAGCGGACGGGATGCCCAGTTTTCAGCTGACTGTGGCCGTACGTGCTTGACCTGGCAGCATTTCCGTATACAAATCTTAGATGCGTTGATCAAAAGACTGGACGGATATCGTGCCCTTGCCGTAGTGCTGGGAGATTGTTCAGCTCAGCGGGTGCTCAAGCGAACTGCCGGATTTGATGTGATCTAGGTTGGGAATATCTTGTAAGGGTGCCAAAATGATGCGAATGTGTTGCAATCAGGTTTCATCACAAACCGAGGATGTACCGCTCCGCAAGGGTCGTCATCGGTCATGGTTCTGGCAGAAAGGCTAATGGTAAGTTTATCGCGTCACGACTGAGCAAGAAGGCGAGTTGCCGTCCAACACACAAAGGCTCTCCTCATCTCCTCGATGCTATCGCCGTCCATACTCACCGAGCTATTCCACACGGCTCTTCAATATGGCCACCACATCGTTACTTGATCTGCCGGACGAACTCATCCACAACATCTTTGTCCACCTGAACGCATCCTCAGCCACCCACTTTGGACAAAGCTCGAAACGCCTATACAAGATCTCGAACACTACCTCACTATGGCGACACTGGTGCCGCGAAGGCTGGGCCTACTGGGAGGAGCAAGATGGCAGACCTGTCCCGGATTACAACCCTCATTCGCAAACCGAGTGGAAGCGCGCATACGCCGACAAGGTCACCCAAGACAAGGAGGTCCTCGCTATCTTCAACGACCTTCTGAGCACTCAGCAGAATCGTATGGCGCGCATGCACGAGATTGTCGAACACTATTCATACAATGCCAAAGACATGCTGGTGAGGCAGCTTGGCACGCCTGACGACGCCGAAGATGTCCTCGCCCGCAGATACTGGAGTGGTGTTGTTCTTGAGCTGCTTCATCGCTTCAAAGCCGTGCAGATATGGGACAAGATGCAGTGGCAGGACTACCCACCACTTGAAGAAGCTTTGGGCGCGTTCGATCTGTTCATCCAAGGCAGCAGCAGCGACTTTGAGCTGTCCATTTTGAAGAAAGAGTTGGATGACATTGCTCATGCTATTGAGTCCTCGGACCCAGAATGGCGTGATAAGAACTACACCGAGAAGGCAGTTGCCATCTCCAAGTACCTGAGAGAGCATAATCTCGTGGGCTGCTCACCGGACACTTTCAGCCTGATGCGGTATCGTTTTCTCACCCACGTTTTGACACATCCTACCGATAAGTCTTCTATTCCTATGCAGTCTGTCGTAATATTCTGCTGCGTGGCTATGCGACTTGGACTCAAAGCCTGGCCTTGCAATTTTCCAGGAAAGATCCATGCCGTTATTGAATCGCCACACGGTCCATCAATCAAGGATACACGTGCCTCACACAATCTCCCCGAGGGTGTTGTCTGGATGAATCCATCTGACCACGACGAGATCATCACAGAGCAAGCAATGCGAGACATGCTCGATCAAATGCCACACTACAACACACCGGAGAGCCAATATTCATGCTTGACACGAGCTCACACTCGAGCTTTGGTGCTCAGAACTGGTGTTAACATTATCGGATCCATGCAATTCCACAGACCATCACCAGGTTGGGAGACTCCCAATATCGCGTTCTGCGCGCTGTGGAGTCTTATCTCCATGAGCCAGGTCGACGCTACAAAGAGTGCAGAGCTGTTCGTACGCCACCAACATTGGCTCAAGCAGATAGTAAATTGGTTTGAGGGCTATGTTCAGGATGGACTCTGGCTCGACGATGCTGTACTCTTCGAGCGTTATGTTCTGCCTCTAATAGATGGAGAGGAAGCAAAGGCCAGACTGTCACAAATCTTGCAACAGATTCGGATTGCAGACTCCAACGCGAATCCCATCACTCCTCGTGACGAGCGTACACATTTGGTCAAGTACAAGGTTGGGCAAATCTTCAGACACGTCCGTTACGGCTACGTGGGTGCGATTATTGGATGGGATCCTAGCTGCCAGGCTGGTGAATTCTGGATTCAGAGCATGCGAGTGGAAGATCTTCCTCGAGGTCGCGAACAAAGCTTCTACCACATAATGTGAGTTACTCGAAGAAGCCAAACCACTAAGACAAATGCTGATATACAATCACAGNNATGCGAGGATGAATCTCTACGCTACGTCGCCGAGGAGAATATCATGGTACTCGCAGAAGAGCCGTCTGCCAACTTACTAAAACTCGCTGGTCGCTACTTCAAACGCTGGGACCAAGAAAACAAGGTTTTCATCAGCAACATCAAGGACGAGTATCCTGATGATTGAGTTGCTCTTCAAGGACGGACAGCAAGCAGGCGCCAATGATTTTTATGGACTACGAAGTAATGACTATAATGATACTGGGTCTCTACAGAATCGCTCCCATGTGCTCATCCCACTCAGTGCCAACTTCGCAAAAACTCCCTGGGGAGGTGCTCCTACGAGTACGCGTGACAAGTCTATTCAACTCGCAGGTTCGAGCATTGCACCTTCCGTTCGTGGTCTTCAACATTCGACTGCTCGACAATGCTTTGCATCGCCCAGCATCGTGTCAACTTCGACCACAAACTTCAATTGCTCTCCACCAAAGTCGGTTCAGAACTGCCTTTGTGATCTGGGAGCTTTTTGAAGCAGCCTTGCACATTCTTCTGTTGTCGCTTTGACTCCCTTCGGCAGCCTATTTGGTCTCAGGTCGGCTTTTGCCGAAAGCAACTTCACTTGCCTTTGTAGGTTGCACGTCGGCAACCAGAATGCAATGTTTACAGACCTCGATGGCTATCTCGAGAATGCACCTGATCTTGAATGTCATGGAAGCTTCCACTGAAATGGCATTTCCTGAAAGTCATACATATGCCCCGTCGTGGACTGTCTCTGACTGCCATCGCCGTGTCTATATTCTCCACTTTGTGGCTCCAAGGTATTCGTCTTACAATCAACGAGGTAATATTAGCTGGTGCAACAAGTCGTGCTGTCCAAGTCAAGATACTAAATATCTGCTGAACAGAATGACGAAGCGAGAGTCGACGTCCCCATCACGACCACTTTCGGCAAGCTCTGGCAAGCGCTCGCGTATCGACAGGCCCGATGGTGGAGCTTCTACCATTGCGAGCCTCACGTCTACAGAAGACACTGAAGATATCCAAGATATGTGGGACGAGTCTCCAGAGGTCTCAAAGCACTCCTGGGCTGTGACCAAATGCCTCACAGATCACGGAAACATATTAACCAGGTGGACTCCTGCCCATTTCGTAGCAATCGCAACGTGGTATAGCGGTATCAAGGCAGGCATTCAGGCCGCCAAAGCGATCCGCATATTCGGAATATGGAGTCACGACGAACATGACGGACTACCATCTATGAACGACACATCGAACAGAGACTATATACTGGACAAGCTCTGGCCTGTGACGCCCGCTCAACAGACGGTGTTGCTTCGCCGGGCGCAAAGATCACATCCTGGAATCCCACTCCGCGACTTCGAGGCAGCTCATCAACATCTGCTTCGTGAATGTATCGGACCGGATCTCACAAGATTTCCCGCAGTGGTGAGACCAAAGTTGGATTTCGGTAAAGGCGCTCCTCAGAGATGGGAAAGTCTGGTTACTCAAGAATAGTGGTATGAAACCTTGGCACCTGTTCCGCGCAAGTATTTTCATGTCGGAGTGAACCTCAGGTTACTTTCCAAAGAGATCGTTAGTAGATCATTCGACGAAGACAACACCGATGTCTATGCAGGCACTATTAACCCCGGCAAGGGTCCGAGAGCTAAAGCAGGTGGCCCTTGTGCGTCATCTCGAGCGACCAACAAAGAGATCAACTTGCCTCACACAGACGATAACCGAGACGATGATGAAGAGCCATCTTATCCGAAATCCACCACTTCAGTCGCATTCAAGAAAGAACCTGGGTCGTCGGACAGGAACAGTTATTTTGACTCTTCTCGTGAACAGCCTGGTCCCCCTCTTCCAGAGCTTCCTGATCTGAAGAATTCACACATCATTGTTGGTTGCGAGACGCCTAACAGTATCGCTGCTCACAACGTGCCCTCAAGATCGGTCACAAATTCTCGCGTTACTTGGGAGGCTGGGCCACCCGACCGTCGAAAGTCCACTGCTACTTACACCAACTAAACAAGAGTCAGCGACCCATCGCCTACAGGTGCGACTACCAACAATGCAGTAGTGAAAGTCCACAGATCGAGCATCCCTACGCACATGGTGCCTCAGGAACTGAACAAGCAAGTTCTCAACCTGCTCTATGAGCAGACATGCCGCTTCAAATCGGAAGCGATTGCGAAACACATCGATACTGGTAGGCCAATACTGCCTCGCGAGTGGAAGGAGATATTCATCTACAGAGTATAATGCAAAATGGAGCTTTTTGGATTGAGCGAACATCCGCCTTTCCTGGCGAACCTTCCGATCATTCCATACCGTCCGCGCATCCAGGTAGCTGGCGTGGGGCGCTCCATTGTCCATTGTACAATACACTTTTCCGAAATGCTGTTGAGGATCTATCGAAGTTCGAGAAATTCTGCAAAAGTCGGACAGTGATCATCATCGACTAGTCAACTATCTTTCGAATTGCTTGGAGCTTCTATCGATTTTGCTTGCTACCACGATGATCGAGAGGATTCTAGCATCTAGAGCAGATTGGTTTAATACAGTCCGCCAGCTGTCGACAGAACTTCTTATCCTCAAATCCAGTTCAAAGACTGTGCAGAGTTAAGTAAGTTGGACCCCTGATCATGCTGGGGTTTGTTCGCTCGATACTGATCTTGAGAGAACAGGATGAATGGTAAGCGTTCATATCGATCACCTCAGGCAACACCGGAGAAGTCTGGCAAACGTAGGCGTTCTGACGGCTCGCCTCAGGTTACGACACTTCCTCATCCTTCGCTCTACGGATACGATGCACATGTTGATGGCGAGCCTTCACCTGAGAATGTATCGGACAACGAACCCGAATCTCATCTCAGCCCGCCTTCGGCTGCACACTCTGATCGAATGGAAGAAGACTCTGATCACCACGATCAGTCCTAACATGATGCAGAAAGCTCACCCACAGCTATCCCAAGACTTGGCTCTAGTCGAGAAACAATCCGACTTCGGTCAGGAAGATGCTTCGATGGACAAAGCTCCCGCCCTTGGCAGAGAAAGAGCCGTAGGTACATCGCTAACCGACTGGCCTGCTAGGTCACAGAGTGTCATTGAGGAGATATGTGATCTCAAGACTCTCAAGCAATTCATGGCTTCTGACGCTATCCACGACGACCACAAAGCTATGTGGGTATCACTGGTCCAAACAATTGTGTATGAGCCTGACCAAGATTCCGTGCTCGTCTTCCTTCAAAACACCTTGTCAGGCGATTCAACAATTGCTGGAAACTTCGGCAAAATTGCTGATGCTGCCAACCATGGTGGAATCACACGCCGCAATTGGACAGTGACTGGTTCTATCTCAATCCATGGCAGTGGCAAGGAAAAATGGTCAGCTGCACTCTGGATGGGCGGTCCTGAGGCAGGTATTCAAACCGCTCGAGCCATGAAAGTTTTTGGAGTATGGAACCCATCAAGGAAGTTCGAACCAGGATTCTCGATACACTCTATCAAAACATGCCTGGATCATCAACATACTGTGCGTAAGATCTGGCCCTCTGGTACCAAAGATCAAGAGGAACTACTTGTTCGGGCCAATCATCATCGAGCTTCGACTGATCCACCATTTGAGAATTTTGAGGATGCTCACTCCCATCTCCTGCAACAGGTCATCGGACAGGACCTCAAGCTGTTCCCTCGCTTAGCTAGGAAATCTAATATTGGCGACGTCAGCAATCGCATCATCTCGCAAGCGTACTTCGATAGTACTCTTGCACCTATTCTACTGTAGCACTTTGATGCAGATGTCGATCTTTCTGTCGCTTACAGCGCGATCAGTGACAACCAGGGCAAACTAGTGGATCGCAACCCTATCAAGCATGTCATACCAGCCAGATCGCCCACGGCACTGCCCACTCAGTATGGAGACAATGTTCCACTGATTCTGACTCGAGTCACCAGGGCAACTTTTCAGATGATGCGAAAGACGATGTGGAAGACAATGCGGCAGAAAACGAGACAGACAATGAGACAGACGCTGCACGAGACCCACCCGAAGCATCAGTCGACTAAAGACCAACTCCATCTCGCAGACAGTCTTGTACTGCGCATCATCTTCTCAATGTCCGCAGGCCACTCACACACGGAGCCAAAAAGTCCGAAGCTCGAGAGAAGCAAACTACCAACGATCTCTACCAAAAGTCTCGCGATGTCCCATCGGGTCTACTTAACAATTCCTCCGAAGCAGCAACAATCTGGCACTACGCAGAAGCTGGATGGAGGTCTTGGAGCACAGAACAAGAAACCGAATGACATCTTCACGACCAGAAGATCGTCCACCCTACTCTTCTGACCATTTCGTCGCTGGCTCGCCAACACCTAGAACCCCAGGCAATCCGTCCTCTGAACACTCAAGCGAATATCAATAGTGCGCGTGAAACAAACATTGAGAAGGATGTTGAAAGGCTCAAGAGATTTGTAGATGCTCAACCCTGATCATGCTAAGGCCTCGCCAACTCGTCCGACTGGTGATTCAGCACAATCACCACTTACCTTCCTCTTCACGACTCATGACAGACATTCCAACCACAGGGATGTAACAAATGTCATCGACTTGCATGCCTGGCTTTGCTCAAGACAGATCATCTTGCAATGTGTTATCCGACGCAGAAGTCTTGGGCAACATCTCAGATGGTGGCAATGCTTTTTCTCTTTCCTTTTCTTATCAAGCAGCGGGAGTTCCTCCAACCAACACGGTCATTTCATCATAACCAGCATATTGATTCCAATGAAAAATTTTACATGTCCCGTGAAACAATCTTGACGGCCTTGTTTTTCTTTGATCAATAAAACATATTTTTTCTTATGTCTCTTGGATGACTTCTTTACATTGATCACGCATGGCTTCTGGTGATGATAGAAGTGGACTTTGTCGAAACGAAATACCCTTTGTTGCCCAACAGCTTTTTGCCCCAAAAGAGCAAAAAGAAATTGTTACGACCTTGTGATATGTGCTTGTTTGAAGTTGCCTTCCTTATCTACGAAACTCGTCTTGGTGCTGTCTCATGACTGTACTGCTCACTCAGTATCTTGCTCGAAGCAAAAAGAATTAAATGTATTGAATACCTTGATGTGATAGCTTTGGTAGGCAGCAATCAGCAATCCCATTGTTCTCGACATCTTGCAGAGTTTTGGCACCTCAAACTATCTCAGCAGCTTATAGGCAGACATTTCTTCTCGTGTTCTTTGCTATATCAGTTTCGTGAGAAAGAGGTTTCGATTTTGCTCCTCCCAAACAGGATTTCGAACATCTTTTCATGATGATGAGTTGAGAGATTGGAAAAGACTGGGTTTCTACGTATGGAAGTATAGCTGGAGATGTCGTACAAGAAAGACGAGGGGAGTAGGAAATAGGGAGTGTTGTCGTATGCATTTTTTTGCCTTGGTTATGTGACTGTAAGTTCATTGACCATCGCCGGCTTTTGAAGGAGACGGTAATACCCAGGGCAGAGATACATCCAGATGAAATGTTCTTGAGAATAGCCCTTCATTCAACATCTAATCCTCTATCTTGGAAGTATCATGTTTTACCCCTCCTACATCCACAAATTTAGATCCCACGTGGCTACCACATGGACCTCTACTCTACTCTATTCCTCTCTAGTCCCTCTCTTTCCCTCTGCTTCGCAACTACTCAGCCTCAGCAAGAATGAGTTAATTTCCAAACGCCCAGAAACGACTCTTCCCCCAAAGAATATATAGATTCCACAGATGAGTTTTCTGTTTCTTTTCTTTTCATCTTCTTACCAACTTTTTTTACCACCGAGAAAAAGCTATCGTAAACAACTCAAAACTGCTTCTACGTTACTTTGTTCTGATACAAACACTTTCTACTTTCTACTTTCTACTTTCTACTTTCTACTTTCTACTTTCTACTTTCTACTTTCTACTTTCTACTTTCTACTTTCTACTTTCTACTTTCTACTTTCTACTTTCTACTTTTACTTTACCTTTTAATCAACAACAAATCATGGCCTCCATCAACGTTATCGAAAACACTTTGGCTGCCGAACCCACTTACAAGAACTACATGGCTGCTGTTCAGTCCTACGCCGAAGGTCAAGCCGAGGGTACTCAGACCTACGAGCCTGCTCGCGAAGAACACGAAAAGCACACTGGCGAAGACACCATGTCTACCAGCGGAGACGAGGCTTCTGACGATGAGATGCCCGATCTGTGCGAGTGCGAGGACTGCACAACCAACAATAATGGAGATGATTCGCAGACCAGTGACACCAGTTCCGTCAAAGACGACACTTGGTCTGTTGTCGGCGATAGCCAGACTGTCGAGGTCTACGAGAACCAACGTCTTTTCAGCAAGGCCGAGGATGATGGTGAAACCGACGATACTGATGATACCAATGTCGATGATATCGCCGAGAAGACCGATGTCGACGACCACGATGAAAACGCCAACAATATCGTCGACAGCGAGGAAGAAGACTTCTACGGCTGTACCGACAACGAGGACGCTGGCGATGTCGACAACGATGAAGAGGCACCCTGCAACAGCACTCCTGGGAAACAATCCGTTGACGACGATACCGACGAAGAAGATGACTGGACCGAAGAAGGCATCCGCATTGCAGCAATCAAAGAGCAACTCAAAGCCTCCCAACAACAAGCCTGGGAAGCCGAGTGCGATCTCGAAAAATGGCATACCGAGGAACTGGGAGGGATCAAGCGCCAACACCAACAAGAACGCGAGCGCATCGTCAAAGCAAATCAACAGCTGCTCGAGACCTGCAGACAAAAAGCCAAAGGCCACATGGACGCCTCCATCCAGGTACACTTGTTCGAGCGCAATGAGCTTCAACTTCGTAGCATCAAAAACTACAAACGTGCCAACAAAGCCGAGCAAGATGTCCTGAAAGCCGAAAAGCAACTGAAAGCTTGCAAAAAGGAAGCCTGGAGTCTCGAATGCGCCGCCGACCAAGCACACCGCGAGGAGCTGGACGAGTTGCAGCGCAAGCACCTTGAAACCCTCAACGAGGCCAAGAACAAGCACTCCCAAGAATGCAGTAAGCTCGTCAGAATCTTGAAAGCAAGCGAACAGAAACGCTGCCAGGGTGCCGACTATCTGTCCGAACTCGAATCTGAACTCGACGAGCAATACGAGGCAATGGAGGATTTGATCGAGGAAAGAGAAAAATTCTTGATTGAGAGAAGCAAAGCAAAGGAGGACACCAAGCGCTTCGAACAGAGTCTTAACACCGCGTCAGCCGAGTTGGCAAACGTCGAGCATGAGAAGTCCCAGCTTGCCTGCCAGGTGTATAAAGCCAAAGCCGAGATTGAGCGGCTGTACGATGAAATCAACGGTATGTGCCAGGAGAAGCAAGGACTCAGCATGGACCACGATCAACAGATGGATGAGGCAATGAAGCAGGTCCAGCGTCTCGAACAGAGTCTTCGCACCACGTTAGAAGAACTAGAAGATCTCAAAACCCACGACTCGCGGCTTGCCGGGTGCTTGTGTGACAGTCAAACTGAGATCGACGAGGCGCACGAAGCAATGGAGGAGTTGATCGAGGAAAGGGATGAACTCTTGATCGAGAACTGCAAAGCAAAGGCGAGGATCGAGCGCCTCGAACAGCGCCTGCAGGATTGCGCAACTAGCCGCGAGCAGGAGATGAGCAAAGCGAAGGAAGAGCGTCGCGAGCTAGAGAGCAAGATTCGCGATGTGCTGGCCAAGTCGAGCGAGGCCAAGCAAGAGCAAAACGAGCTTCGTAACCGATTTTGGGAGGCCAAATACGAGATTGAGGAGCTGAAGGAAAGAGAGCAGGAAAGGGAGCAGGAGAGGCAGAGGGAGATGATCAAAGCGAAGGAAGAACGTCACGAGTTGGAGAACAAGATTCGCGACGTGTTGGCCAAGTCGGGCGAGGCCAAACAAGAAGACAACGAGCTTCGTAAGCGGCTCAAGGAAGCCAAGTACGAGATTGACGAGTTGAAGGAGAGGGAGCAGGAGTTGAGAAAGCAGAAGGATGCTGAGCGTCAGATGTTCGAGAGAAGCCTCTTCAGCATGCACAATCTGCTGCAAAAGGTTTAGGCGGAGGGACCTGGTGGCATCTTCTTATAGCTTCAGCGTCAGTTAATACAACGTACTTGAAAGCTTCAGACATTCCTCAATAGATAGCATTCTGTTTTGGAAAGTGTCGTGTAGATGCCCAGTTGTGAGCGTGACAGACTTGAGCTCTTGAGATGTTGGGCGTATGTCAATGTTCTGCCTCTATATCAAATCACTCAGACGCAGAGGCTCTTCGGAGCGACACGGAGCGCCATGACATGTCTTGATGATAGCCGTCTCTTGAAAGCATTGTGTATTCTGCAGGTGGTCGTCAGAGGGTTGACCCTGCAGATCTGTGATGCAGAGTTTGTGGAGCTGTTGGTTTGGACTTGGACGATCCGGATTCGGCAAGTGCATGCGTCGCAAGAGGCGGGTGTAAACAAGACAATTTTTCTGATCATCAACCATCAACTCGCGTGTATCAGCACAATAAAGACGTATACCTAAGCCGAAACTTCCTGAGTCTACCTGTGATCATATCAACATCCTAAAGAAGAAGCGTGGTGGAATTAATCACGACAAGAGGATTGTTTGCAGCAAGCGCAGCATCGGCAAGGTTCCAAGCTAGCCCCCAGCCTCTTGGTTGTTGGTTGACGGACGTTTCACCCAAGTTGATGCTCCATCCATGGGCAAGTCTGAGCTATCTGCGATCTGGCAGCGACGCCTTCCTCTCTTTCGCCAACCGGATTGACTAGGAGATGAGTTCGCCCGCTGCGCTGGCCTCACGCGCCAACCACGCTGCAGACAATTCAGACCTTTCCGACATAGACACCAACAGCCGAGTCCATCAACAAACAGGTAAACAATCCACCGACCAACTCCCCACATACCTTGCCGAAGACGATGANCTACTCGGACAACGACTACGAAGACGACCACGATGCACCCTCCCCGAGCATGACGACCTGTACGATCAGGACGACTCCGACCTCCCGCCGTTACCCATGTCCAACGACAGCCTACTCCACCTCACCAACCCCCACAGCGATGCCTACGATGAGCGTGAGATGAGGAGGAAACTCATGGACGTCGAGTCCAGCTTCATGCCCGACCTGCTGTCCACCCGCGTTCCACATGAAAGAACTGGCGCCGACGATACCTACCTCAACATCAAACATCAACAAGACAGTGACATTCCGCCCATTCAAGAGCAAACAGAAGATGACATCGCTGAAGACAACCCTGAGGATGAAGATGAGGAAGAGGACGAAGAGGACGTCGCATCCGTCACATCTGCTCCTGTCATACAGCCTTCGTCCCCTGCCGCTGCCGCTGCCGAACGTTCCTCAATGCGCGCCGATCCCGTGCGACGCCCGTCAGAAAACGACCACGACCTGTCGACTGCCTTTACCAGACTCACCTTACGCTCCAGCGCCTCCAAGGATGCTGACCAACGAACACTGTCCTGGAACATGGCACAACCCTCATCTTCCTCCGACTGTCGCATCTTTTCCTCCTCTTCGAGAGAAGCCGCCCAACCATCCAAAGAAGCCGCGCAAGGGGCTCCGTCGCAAGAGCTCGAACATTCCTTCTTATCCACCACATCCGCCTCGACAAAGCCAGAAGACGTCCCCTTGCCCATCTCAGACAAAAGCCTGCTCGACTTGGGAAGCCTTCACTCAGCCTCGTCGCGTCTACAGATAAGGCCAAGCTACGCCTCTCAGAGAAACCCCAGCCACCTGTCGGCCATCTCGAACGCCGACACTGAATACTCGACCGGTGATTACGCCTTGCAGACTGGCGGCGCCATTCCCGAAGATCACTCCTTTGGCCACGGCCGCCCACTCTCACGCCTACCCAGTCTCGGTAGCGTCGTTTCGGCAATGTCAAGAGACAGTGAACCTGTTCCTCCCTCATTGAATCGCGGCAACTCGGTTCTGGCAAGCATTCGCGCAGAACGTGCTCTAGGTAGCTTGGAGGAGGAGGACAAAATATCAAACGCCTCTGATCCCGTCACGCCCCGTCCACCAGACATGTTTGAATTCCATGCCCCTACCGATACCATCATCACTAGACACGTGCAGAACATTCAAGTCCCCGATACTATCGCAAAGGAGTATCGACAGCAGAACCGTCCTATCTCTCCAGACAAGCGTCCAGCCTCCTCATCAAATGCCCTGACCTTCGGTAATCGCCCGGGTGGTAATCTTACCCTCAAAGAGCAAAACAGCAAGATTGACAAGCTCACCAAGGAGAATTTCGACCTCAAACTCAAGATCCATTTCCTCGACCAGGCCTTGCAAAATCGTTCCGAAGAAGGTGTTAAGGACATGATTAACAAGAATGTCCAGTTCCAGACCGATCTGGCCAACGAGCGAAAGGAAAACCAATCTCTGCGGCGCAAAATCCGGGATCTTGAGAAGAGGCTTAAGCAGTCAGAGTTGGATCTGGCAGAAGCACGCAAAGCTGCTCAAGAAGCGGCTGGCAACGGTCATGAAGAGCTCGAGTATGAAATCCTGACCCTGAGCGAAGAGCTCGATAGAAAAACGATTCAGATTGCGCACCTGACTGCCGAGAACATGGCCAAGGAGGTGGAGAAGCGCAAAATGAAAGAATACATGACTGCCATGAATGAGAGACGGGGCTCAGAGCATGATGTTGTCGAAGAAGAATCCGTGAGTATTGTCTTAGACACGTGAGACAACAAGACTGATACACGTGTCTAGGAAATGTGGAAGGACCTACTCACGACAGAAACTGCTCGCAGAGAACAGGCTGAAGAAGATATTCGCAAACTCCGTGAAGAGGTCATCATGCTGAGGAGCGAGAAGGCTTCAGAGGCGAGTAGAGGACTCAACACCAACAGAATGAGCCAACTTCGCTCCCAATCTACGGGGTCAGAGCATATCGACAGTCGCAGCGGTGCCGTCTCAGCCTCCAGTTCTACCCTCGTCGACCAGCTCCAGCACGAGAACGCCGAATTACGCCGTGATCTTGGTGCCCAAACATCCATGCTTACGTCTCGGAACCGTGAGAGAGAACGTCTTCAGCAAGAGATTGAGGACTTGAAACTGCTGCATCGCAGGGTAGATGGTGGTCGCTCCATGACAGGCGACAGCATCTTCGACCGTTCCGTATCTCGACAAAATCAATACCAGCGATCTACATCTCGGACTAGTGGGCAGACTCAAGCTACTATGAGCGATGCTGAAAGAGACGGTTATGAACAACGAGAAGGTATCCTGCGTGACCAGAATGCCGCACTCAGATTGGACATCCAAGACATGCAACGACAATTCAACGAGCAAACCGAGCTCATTGCAGAGCTTGAAGAAGCTGTTCAGATCTCTGAAAATGAGCTGGACGCTGCGGTCGAAGACCTGAGGATGGTACAGAATCAACGCAACGAGGCCATCCAACAGCTCGAAGCGACAGAGCTGGAACTTGAGCATGCCAAAGCCGAACATGAAAGACTTAGAATCGAAGCTGTTAGTGCCATCGAAGATCTGGAAGACAGTCTTGACAAGACGGAACAAGGACGTGAGCGCATCGCTTCGGACTTGAAAGATCGCGAAGATGACTTCAAGGCTCTCCAGCATGAATTACACAACCTCAATGACAGTCTTGTCCAGCTGGAAGATGATAGGACATCGGCTTTGAAGCGTATCGAGATGCTTGAGCAGGAGCTTGAAGACGCAAACACAGAACTGGACGAGATGGAGAAGAACTGGCGCGAGACTGCCTTGAAGAACAACCGGCTTGATGTTCAGGCAGAATCCTTACACAACGAGATTTCCTTCCTCCGTGAAGAGCAAGAAGGCGACAAGATCAAGATTGGTGATTTGGAAAACAGCCTTAACGCCGCTCAGGAGATGATTCAAGACGAGAAGGAGAAAATGCAAGAGCTTGAGGAAAGTCTTGTAGAGGAACGCCGCCAGCGTGAAATAGTCGACAACCAGTCCAAGCAGGAGGTGCAGAAGATGATTGACGATCTCAATGACGAAAACACAAAGTCGAGGGATGAAGTCAGAAGCATCAAGCAGACTCTACGTCAAACTGAGACCGAAACCACAAAGTATAAGACCAGACTGGATGAGCTCGAGACTAGTCTTAGGCGAGTGCTTGGTGACAGACGCTCTGGCTGGCTTCAAGAGATTCAAAGAATGCAGGACGACTTGGAGAACACCATGCACGATCTCAACGAAGCCAAGACACAACTGGCAGAGAAAGACCGTCTGCTACGCAACAGAGACCAATTACTTGAAAGCAGTGGCTTGGAAAGCAAGAAACTATCTGACATGCTGGAGAAGGAACGCTCTCTCCGCCGAAAAGAACTTCACCAGTTCGAGCTGTCTCAACGCGGTAGCTCGACCAATGCACGCATGATGGCTCAACATGAATCTCGTGCTCTGGATCTGGAGACTGCTCGTAGCCAAGATCGTCGCAAGATGATGCAGCTCGAACAACAATACCGAGACCAGCTTGTTGAACGCAACCAGCTGCTCTTCACGCTCTGGACAAAACTCTCAACCCTCTGCGGCAACGAATGGTCTTCCCACCACGGCAGCATCAATGGCGAACCCACCTCCATCGACACCATATCCCGCAACCTGCAACCCTTCACCAACAACATCCTCTCCGCAATCAAAGCCATCGAGACCTTGATGTCCAACTGCAAAGCCCAGATCCGCAGCGTTGAAAAGAACCTCCGCAAAGACTATCAAGTCCTAGAGCAAAACCTCGACGTCCGCGTCAAGAAAATGGAGTTCCTGGAACGAGCAGTCAAAGACGCCCAATCAGCCATCGAAGCACAAGCGCAAGAGTCAGCAGCCCTCCGCTCCCAACAAAACATGAACCGCACCTCCAAATACAGCACCGAAGAAGCCGCGAAACTAAAGCAAGAGATTAAGATTCTCAAAGCTGAGATTCGTTTCCACAAATCCAGTGAAAACAAAGGCAAAGAAGCAGAGGCAAAAAAGGACACAAGTAATCAACTGACGCCTAGAGCCAGCATGGCAAATTCATTGCTTAGACATCATTCTTCGTCGGCAATAGAAGTGCTGCAAGCGGCAAATGCAGCCCCTGCAGCAGGTGCCGCGGCAAGAAATCCTAGTATTGTTATTGCGACACCGCCTTTGCAGCCCTCTGAACAACGCTGGATCCATCGTCTCAAGGAATTGGAACGAAGACTCAAAGCCGAGCGAGAAGGCAGGCTTTTGGATCGCAAAGGTGCGAGACAAAGGTTAGAGGAAAGAGACTTGCAATTGGAAGATTTGCGGGGGATGCTGGAGAGGGAAAAAGATAGAAGAGGTAGTTTTGGTAGTTCACAATGGGAGGAAGGCGGTGAGGAGGGGAGGAGTAGTAGGTTGAGTAAGGTATCGGGGGTTAGTGGGAGGAGAGATAGGGAGAGGGATGGTAGTGTTGATTAAGCAAGCGGCTAGGCAATGCTAGAGAACAAGGCAGAGCAAGGTTATAATATTAGATTCTGTGATTCGTTTCTCCTCTTCCTCCGTGTCGTATAAATGACTTTTCGTGCGTCGCTACATGGTAATTTGAACTGCACGCATCCACGAAACCTAATGAGCGGGTTCTGTGACGTGGACTTCAACGAGGGTGAAGGGTCCGTCTACTCCGTAGACTACGTTTATGCCTCCACGGTTCTGTGTTTCGTCAGTGTCAATTCAAATATGAGTCAAGATGAGAAAGTAACTTACGCGAACAGGACGAGCAGGAGCAGGAGCAGGAGCAGGAGCAGGAGCAGGAGCAGGGCGAGCAGGCACAGGCGCAGCAGGCATCTCTCCAGTGCTCAAAGCACTTTCCTGCTCTCCTCCAACCTCACTGCCGCCAAAGCAGCAAAACAACTTCTTGATAACGCTCAACATTGTTCAAGGACCCGGTGACTTTTGGGTGGAGGGACCTATAGTTTATTTACGTCAGCATTTCCTTCACACAACGATATAAAGATGTTTGTAGATGTAGCCACTCACAAAGACTTGATAGTGATATAGTGATTGCGTTGTTCGAGGAGTCACGTGGGATAGTTCAGGGATGTATATATACATGGTGGCGCTTAGATAATCGAGGAAGTGAGTGAGAGTGAGGTGAAGAAGAGGGGTGAAATTCACTGACAGTGAAGGCGAGAGGCTTAGGTGAAGAGGAGAGGTTCAGGTGAAGAATTGCAGGCATTATTCGCCTTAGGACATTGAAGTTCTTTTGTTTGTCCCTATCAATAATGACGGTTACATTGCAAGCTATAGAAATACACAACAGCTATCCACAGGAGAGTGATGTCCATGGAGATATAGTTGACTTTGGTATCTCCATGGCAGGTATCTCTGTTTGTAAAAGAACTGTGCATTTTTATGGTATATCATGATCAGGACATCAGTGCGAGAGGAAAGAAGAGAAGTGAAAGCGAAGATTTCAGTGTGCTGAATACAGTAAGTTATAGCAATGCACGATAGCTTTCTGTAGCAGAGTGAGATTCATGGAGAGAGGTTGAAGGCCTTGGGTATCTCTATGGTACGCACTTCTATATGAAAAGTGATTGTGCAGTTTTATAGTATACCATGATATTATATGGTAGTGTGGGAGTGGGAGTGTGGAAGTAAATTGATAAAATTGTAGGTGAGGATCTCAAGTCAAACATAGTCCGTAGTGTAGAGTTGTAGAAACACACAATGGCTTTCCATAACAGAATGAGATTGATGGGAATAAGTTATCTTTGGGCGTTTCTGTGGCCATGGCTCTATCTGGAAAGCCACTGTGCATTTCCACAGCATGTCTGACGGAAAAGCAAGACTTACCTGTAATGCCATACAATCACTTACCTGTTGTGGCCAGCACTTACATATCATCATCATCGATATTATCAGGCGACTCAGGACGCGTATCAGGAAACCCACCTTCAGGAGCAGCAGTAGCAAAAGTCTGACTCTGCCCATCAGTACTACGAAAAGGGAATTCTTCAGAACCGTCAGAGACAGGTGAACGTGCATTGGATCCATCAACAGTTGTCGGGTATCTAGAAGTTCCTGATGGAGCAGGATCGGAAGAAGTTGTAAAAGGGTCATCAAGACCGGGCGGGGGAGGTACGTTGAAGCTATCAGGTGAGAAGAACATACCAGCAGTCTGACCAAAGTTGGTGTTGGAGCTGTTACAAGGGTCATTGGCCCATGAGTAAGCGGGTGAAGGATGTGAGATGACAACAGGTGCTGCATCGGCTATAACGCTGTCAGTGAAAAGTCCGTAGTCGCAGGTGTCCATGTTCAAGAAGTTGTGAGGGTGGTTTTGGACTTCGGCCGGCAAAGTTTTGTATAGGGCATCAGGGATTTGACCATAGTAACCGCTCCCAAGTTTCTGCAATATCTTTGACTCGACGGCTTCGGTACGATAGTCTGCCAGACGATTATTCTCGACAGAGATGAGGAAGCTTCTGAAAGGGTCGGTCTCTCCGATGGTTGAAGTCAGACGAGCGTGACGACTAATAGCCCAGTCAGGAGTGAGACGTTCGGTGTAGTAGTCGATGGTATCCTGTGAAACGGCAATTTGCTTGAGTAGGTCAATGATAGTACCGTTGGCCCAAATGTCGAGAATGATTTTGTTGTGATCAATGCCAGGAGTCGAGAGCCATAACATAAGCTTACCCATGAATTGAGACCATTGCCAAACTTCGGAGAAATCAAGAGAACCCGGAGCTGCTCTGATCTCGATTGTAGTCTTTCCAATACTCGACTTCAGGTTCTGAAGATTGACGGCCATAGTTCTGTACGCTAGAGTCTGACCCATGCTATCTTTGGCAGGCCAGGAATCCAAGAATGCTTCGACGTCATCATATTTCGAGATGGTATCAAGCCAAGATGGAGGATTGCAACTCTGCAGCTCATCGGTGATAGTGAAACGGTTGAATTTAGGATCGTCTTTGATAGCTTTCTTGACAGTAGAACGAATGCTTTCAAGGAATGCCCTAGAACCGCTGCCGACCCAATCGCTGTCGCCTTGAACGTATTTGTATACAGGGTTTGATCTAATTATGCCAGGCGTGACACCCTCAAAGGGCATAATGCAGTTTCTGGAAGCCGGCAAAAGCTGATCAAAGTGACGCTCGAGAGCAGTAAAGACAGCAAACATACCCAATGAGGTCTTTACAGGTGGCTGATTCTTATCATTGCTGAAGTGAATGTGGAGCCCAGTGTTTTTGTTGTTAGCGATACAATAACCATGCCCGGGAAAGGCTTCGTGGACTCTCTGCATGAAAACGCTGATCTCAGTATAAGCGTCCCACTCGAATGGCTCACCGGTGCAGGGGTATGATTGAGGGGGAANAGAAGGCGTGGGCTTGGAAAAGTTCATGATTCGAGATATAAGCTCCATCTGGTAGAAATGCGACTTTCTGGGCTCGTTGACTTTTTCGTCGGCGCTGGGGTTGACTGTACCGTCACGCATCATTTTCCAAGCAGAAAAGGGAGGAGGATTGCCAGAAACAATTCTCTCAAGTGGCAACTTCCACGCGTGTTCCTTGTTACAGTTTTTACAGAGGAGAGTGACGGGTGTCTGGAGGGCCCTCGTGAGATGACCTCTGGGACCATCTCTGACCTTGCGTGGTGTATAAGACAAGAACTCAAGCTCAATCCCAAATGTCATGTCATTAAGAATCGAAGGCTGACCGGCAGCATCTAGACTGGTGAAAGAAGACATCGTATCGGGTTTGAGTATGTGTTAATATTTGTGAAAGTTGGAGAAGTTGTAGAACACCACTTGGGAGCACAAATACGGCATTTTGTAGTAGAGCGCTACGCTCGTGGTGGTTAGTGATTGGAACAACGAACAATGGATGTCGAGGATGCAGACAAAGCCATTGAAGAGATGACAAAGGACGATGGAGAAGCTTGAAAGGAATCAAAGGAGGCATGAAAGAAAAACGATTTGGGGTTCGAAGGAACAATGAGAGACCATCGATGTATGTTTCCTCTTTTGGCGGCAACAATGCACTATGGGAAGGACGCTTAGGAGAAAGAGCGATACAGCTGGTGCTGGAGGGAAAGGCATGCGACCATTATAAGCCGGTCAAAGCAGTCGAGCGTGAAGTATAGTGATTCGAAGTCGAGTAGGTGTAAAAATTGAAATACGGATATATCTTTTTGTATGCGTAAGGCTGTAGCTCGCATGTTGGATAGCTCCTAGTTCAGATATGCTCCAATGACCAACGCAACAAGCGCAATCAAAGAAGTAGTGAGAGACTCTCGGCTCCCATGCAACAAAGACATGAGGTTCGTAGTCAGCACCACGGACAGGTGGTCTCTCCATTGCTAACCGAAAAAAAGTTTGAAACACCATCCTCACCCGAGTAATCGGAATCGAATTATTCCTTTCGGTAAAGAAAGAAACGCTGCGTATTGCACTCAAGTATCGCAAGTCATGGACTCGCACACAATCTTCGCACCGGCTCCCATAGAACGCGAGCTCTCCCTGTTGAAACAAGTCCAAGAGGTCAAGACGTTCTGAAATTTCTGATGCCAGATGCAGACGTGTCACGTCAGGCCCTCGCAGGCAGTGACTCAGAGCTTGCGCAACTCGTGAAAGCGTTGCAAGGTGAGTGTTTGGTTTGTGAAGATTACTCCGAATTTCTCATTTGCAGAGTGGAAAGGACACGGCGAGCGGTAAAGCATCGCCATGTCTGTGTGGAAGCAAAGAAACGCAGCTTTGGTGAGGATGATGCTTGAACAAGGAAGGAAGGTGAACGCTAGCGAAAAGAAGTTTTGGACCCTCGAGGTCGGCGCCAAGACTTCGCGTCATCCCCCAGCCGAAGGTGTTTAATTTAGCGACTGGATGCTCCTTCACTTTCACAAGACAACTTCCACAACCACTTCACAATGGGTTCAGAGGATGGAGACCGCAGGAGGCGTCGTAACAGTAGAGACAGGCGCTCTGACAGACCACACGATCGTAGGAGGAGATCTGTGAGCGGGGACGACGACAGAAGAGAAAGAGACAGACGGAGCCGGCGACATGACGATGAAGGCAAGGACAGGAGGAGAAGACACCACAGTCGCTCAAGAAGCCCCAAACCAAGACACGACAGAGAACGAAGCTCGCGAAAAGACGACGCACCACCCTCACCACCACCAAAACGCAGAAGACGCTCATACTCGCAATCAGAGTCACCCCCACCGCGCCGCCCTCGTGGCCCTCTACCCTCACAACAAGATCAGTTCCGCCAGGGGAGACGATGCTGCGCCAGCAGAGCCAGTGGTAGAAAAGCAGAAGCCCAACTTCAATGCGACAGGACTACTTGCAAAAGAAGCAAATACGGTGGCCGGCACAAATACAGTCCTCAAATACCACGAACCGCCCGAGGCGCGCAAGCCATCGAGCAAGGAGCAATGGCGCATGTTCGTCTTCAAGGGCAAGGATATGATCGACACGATTCACCTCTACTCGCGCAGCTGCTGGCTCATGGGACGCGATCAAGCAATTGTCGATTTCCAGTTGGAGCACCCGAGCATCAGCAAGCAGCACGCTGTTGTCCAATTCAGACACATCACAAAGACAAACGAGTACGGGGACAAGCTGAGCAAGGTCAAGCCATATCTCATCGACCTGGACAGCGCAAATGGAACACGGCTGAACGGGGAGAAGGTTGGAGGCAGCAGATACATTGAGCTACGGGACGGTGATGTCGTGGGCTTTGGCGAAAGCGAGAGAGAATATGTCATGATGCTGCCCAAATAATCATAGCATGTTGACCGCATGCGAATACGAAAAAGCATATTTAATCTTCTTTTTGATCCATTATTTTGTTAGTGACGTATTGATTGCACCAAATTGTTGCGTCGCGGGTCACTCTCGACACGACTTAGTCCAGCTGCGCTGCCCTCGGCCTTGAACCAGCAATTGTCCAACCACCAATGCAATGACGACCACAACCTTAGCCCCACGAAGGGCGACCTCTCTGTTCTTTTCAGTCCAACAACAATCCTTTCGTCCGCTCTCCCAGCGCAGCCACATCCTCAGCGCCACCAACTTCAAGCCATACTCGACCCAACCACCCTCCTCAAACGTAGACGAAAAGACCAAAGACCTGCCTCCCAAAGAACCCTCCCAACCAGACGAAGATGGCATCAACGGCCCCCTCTCCACCCTACCTCCTCCTCTCAACCTCCCAGAAAAAGGCAACCGCTCAACACCCGCCCACCTCTTCCAAATCGGCCGCACCTACGGAAAGTTCTACTGGAACGGTGTAAAAGCAACATGGGCAAACCGAAAGCGCGCAAAAGCTCTCAAGACACAAATCATCGCTGCAAACCGCGCTTCTGGCCTTCCAAACATGCCCAGGCCGCTGCTCGCACACTTGGAGTTTTACTACGAGAATGCCGGAAAGCAAAAGATGACGAGAACAGACTTCCAACTGTTGATGAGAGAGCAATATGACAGCAGGAAACTGCCTCCATTTGCATTGATGGTCGCCCTGTTTGGAGAGTGGTTACCGTTGATTGTGCCATTTGTGCCTTCCGCAGTGCCTCGCACCTGCAGGATCCCAAAGCAGATTGAAGACATGCGCAAAGGTGTCGAAGAGCGACGGAAAAAGTCCTTCCGCGAGGGTCTAGCAACACCAAAACCTGCAGAAGACGACGAAACCGCCATGCCTACATCGCTGGCCGGAGGCAAAAAGGCTCTCCCCAGATTATACACCTCCATGCGAACGGCTCAACACATCGTCAAACTCGGAAAACCGCAATCCTTGCACGTTTCCCGTGCTCTGGGCATCGGCGGCAGACTATTCGACTCTATGGGTGTCCAACATCCTCTGTTTCCTGTCAAGTTGATGAGGCATCTCGGTTATCTGCACATTGACGATGAGCTGTTACTCCAGGACTGGGTGCTTAGTCATTTGACACTCAGCACAGAGGAAACTCGCATAGCATGCGAGGAACGCGGTATCGATGTCGTGGGTAGGGAAGAAAACGACCTCAAAGAAGACCTGAGCAAGTGGCTTGAAGGCAGAAAGAGAGATGATGGTAGCTATAGCGAGATTTTGAAGATGCTGTTTACAAGGTATGTTCACCTCTTTTCCTTTCATGATATCTCAACAGATGCTAACCTTTGCTATCACAGACCGAATGTCTGGGGTCAGTCCCAAGTCGATGCTCCTAAATTGACTGATAATTGAGCTATCCTAAAACACGCAACTCATTAGAGAGGTGTACAAATAGCCGTATAGAAGCACATAAGCCTGATAGAAGCAGAACATCATCAGTCCCAAGGATTTGACAAAGTGGAAGATCTGAGAGCTACAGAGCTCAGCATCTCCTTGAACGCACAACGTGTGCGCGATGAAGTCTCCGTCAAAGCACTTGTGCCATGTCCCGCACAGTATCCTTGATATATCTCAACAATGCCAGAGTGCGAGAGACTCGAATTCACAAAGGTTCGTCACAAGAGGCCTGGCCAAGAGGATCAATAAACAATTCACATGCAACGGGGAGAGGCGCCGGTTCTTGGCCAAGAACAAGCACTGACCCCGATCTTCCATCGCTGCAACGACTGCGACTCGTAAACCTCAACTCCCAATCTTTGTTGAGAGACGGACTTTTGTATGATCGTCTTTGCGGCCGTATAACACTGCCTCCCCGTACTCTGTTCTCGGCCACAGACTCGGTAAGTTGTGAAGATGAAGACAGAGTTTCTTGGCTGCACTGACTTGCAGATTCTTGGTCGCTCGAGCACGTATCTGATGGCATCATCGGTGTGCAACTTCGTCAGTTTGATTATACAGTTCTGGATCGATAGTCGCTGGAACTTCTCGATCAGAATGCCGCTGCTCTTTCTACGTGGCATGAGCCACGATAACAATGTAGACAGAATTAGGTAAGCTGCTATTTTTCAACCAACAAGCAATACAAGATATCCAACACTCTGTATCCACTATATTGCGTACAAGATGCTCTCATCTCATCACATCCACTTTCCTAGCATTTGAAGGTCTAGCTTTGGTCACTCCAGTCTCCATCTCATCTTGGTATTACTATCTTCGGCCGATACTCCTCGTCTTATCTATATCTCCACGACTCCGCAAGATCATTGATTAACTTAAGCATCTCCAGATATACAATCGGTCCGTTCAGAGGTGTGGAGTCTGTAGCTTCTTCCAACTCCAGTCTCCGAGCCTTGGCTGGCAGATGATCTGTTCAACACATGTAAGTTGCAACTGGTGAAACGGGGGCAGTTAGTGTGGTAAGCGTCACATCACACAACGCAAAAAGAAACAGACGGTGATATATATCACTTACGATGGAAACTCAAGGGATGTCCACAAGATTACAAGTGACACTCTTCTTATTACTTCTCATCGATTACAGGCATCTCAAACATTATATCGACCATGGCAGAGTCTAGACGAGAACCAGATCACTCACCAACAACCCCCACCACTGCCACCACAACACCGGCTCTATCCCCCACACCCACCCACACTCTCGACATCAACAACCCAACAGACCTCGAAGCCCAACTCTTGCGCCTCAAACAACGACACGACAGCACTGATAGTTCCGCTACTGCTTCCTCAACCTCCACGCTCTGCCTTCCCCCAAAACCTTTNGCCACATATCTTTCTCACCAACTCTCCCCTTCCTCGAAATATGTGCAAGCGCAGTTTTTGTTGCTTTCGTTCGCGACTGGGATACTAGATGCCACCACATTTTCCCTGTATTCGGTGTTCGCAAGCAAGCAAACCGGAAACACAATCTTGCTTGCTCTGGCAGCATTACAGCACACCTCAGTCACATCGACAGAACCCAACATTGCCATCTCCATATCCCTATTTTTCGTTTCTGCCATCTTGTTCGGACACATGGGCAGACTTGTCGGCAACTCGACTCGCCTCTGGATATTCATCTCCAATACTATATCCACAAGCCTAGTCTTCGCCGCCGCTTTCCTTCAATACCACAGTCACCAGCACAGCAACAATGCGATCCGTCTTGCCATCATCGCATTACTTGGCATGTCCACAGCAGCACAAGCGACTCTCGCCATCACGCTCAAAGTCCCTGATATCAATACTACAATGGTGACAGGAGCAATTGTGCAGATCGCTACTGATGAAACAGTGTTTAGCAAGAGCAACGCTGGGAGAAATAGAAGGGTCATGTTNTTTGTAGCGGTATTGGGGGGTGCNATTTGTGGGTGCGGGGTGTGTGAGTGTAGGGATGGCTTATGTGGGGCTGTTGGTTGCTGGGGTGGTGAGGGGTGGTGTGGTGGTTATGGTGTTGTTTTGATGAACATGAGAGAGGCAGATATATGGTGTGCTGGAGAAGGAGAGTGATACTTTCCAAGACGAGAATGATGTGTAAGGCGAGTGATGTAATGATTGATGAATGATGGTTTATGTCTGCGAACTGTATTGTTAGTGAGAGTATTGCATGCTCTGTACTTTTACTGTTATGAGATTTGGCAGTCGAGTGATGGAGAACCCTCGCTAACAAACCCTAGTATCTGTAATCTACAATCACGTGGCCAAAGAAGCATCAAGTACAAGTATGGGTCCAGATAACCAATCTCCTCAATCTCATTGTCAATTCATCTATATAATCGTCTGTTTCTCATTCTTCTCAAAGTCTGTCATGTACAAGAAAAGGGTGTTCCAGACCTATCATTCATCCATCCCTTTTTCTCATTCAAGTTGTTGCAGAGAAGAAAAAGAAAACATTCGGCCCCAAAATGCTCCGTAGATGCAAATTACAAGGAAGACCCCAAGAATGCTGAAAAGAAAATGGCTTGCACGCTGGCAATGCAAAAGAAAACCAGACCAGGTCGTCGACCCAGACAGGATGCGGAAGAGGAAAACAAGAAAAAAAGTAGTTGCGCGCAGAAACAGTGTTGGGTATAGAGCGCTGCTGTGTTCCGGCAGAAGAGGGTCAAGTACCCTGTCGTCGTGATCATGATGCATATATCGAAAAGACTTCCTGTAGTCTTGTATCATGCTTTTGTGGTGTGTTTGTAATTGTCGTATCATCTTTTCCACGCTCATTCATCCGTCAATCTGTCCAACAGATGGATACTCAAAATCATAACCAACAAACCAATGGTGACGATGAGCAGTAATGCAAAGCTGAACCAACCTAGCACCATTGCCGAAGTGCCAACTCCGGATTTTATGCTGCCGTTGCCCATATCTTGGGCGACTTGTGCTGCGGCAACTGATGCTGTATGTTGCCATAGCACAGACACCAAGACAAAGACAGAAGCGATGAAGACGAGCGCGAGGGCTGATTGAGAGACTGGGCGTGAAGGGAAGGGTTTCACGTCGACTTCGGAGCCGGTGGCGCGGTCACGCTCTTCATGCCAACCGGGGAAGGAGGCGAGGAGGAGGAAGCAGAGGAATGCGAAGATGATGGCAATGANTACTGTTAATACTGAGTCAGCGAAAGAATATATCACGATCAGGTATGTGTTCACTTACATCAGCCAAGGAAAGACGACAGAGTTCTTGAAGGTATTGGCGACCCAGATCAGATTCATGGGATCTTTGTCGATGCTAATCTGTTCCGCCAGCAAGGTTGCATTGTTGGAACAGAGGTAGTTGCCTGCATCAGAAGCAATGCATAGGCCAAAGTATCCGACTCTGACTTCGAGCTGAGTCTGTCCAACGATGTTGGCGATGGCGGCAGTGACGCCAGGATCTACTTGAGCCGGGTCATATGTCGGCGTGTATGTTTGATAGTAAAAGTCGATGAGGAAGATGCCCGGTATGAGTGGTGAACTTGATGAGCATCCTGCCAGTAGTAGTGCTGTGAGGCATGNCTTGTTAGCGATGAATGACATTGATGGAGTTCAATTCTACTCACAAAGAAGAATGATGGCAACGGCGATCAAGATCATAAGAATGTGGTGGTATCCGATAAACGGTATCAGACGTTGGATACCGACGGCAAAGCCAATACCAGGAGCCATGGCTTGCTCTGGAATGTCTCAGACAAAGTTCTGCGTCCTGCCGGTGGCCGACGAAGAGGTTGGAAAAATGCAGATGTGTCTACACGCAATGGTCCTTGGACCTTGTCGCGCTCTGTTGCCTGTCTTGACTCGTGGAATGTGGAGGTTTGAGTTGCCTGAACGTGGAGAGTGGATAGCCGTTGCGAAAAGCCGCTAAGTGATGCTGTATCGTCCAGAAAAACGTATGTAACGCAGGTTCGTAGGGAGGAAGTCAAAGGTTGAGAAGAAGTGATAGAAGCGCGGCGCGTGTATCCCTTGTCTCTTTTGCTGCACGCACAAAATCGCGAGGTTGGTAAAGTGCTAAATGAATTTCCTGCCACCCCAGCCTCCTTCTGACCAGGCACCGTGATGATCGTTTGTAAATACGTGGTTGCGTGGGGAACCACGGCCGACTGCGCTAAAATCAGGGAACTGCCCGCACCCGCTTCCCGTCGGGCTCTGACGTGCGCACAAGCCAATCGGCGTCTTTTTGCTCAACGAGGTCAGAACTTCATCGATATCTTGGATGATGGGAACCAGTGAAAGGCAGCATGAAGCTTTCACAGGTCGAAACCACAGACAGCAGGAACAGTGATGTGAGAACGGTTGATGTGAAAATGGTTCAGATCTGTTATAGATTGTCATGTCGCTTTTCTAGCACTGGAAACTCTAGTTTCCTGGTATCATAGCAAGAGCACAGGTTGAAGCTGTCTCTGCTTTTCGTAACCCAACACCCCTCCTTCCATTTTTATCCCATGTTGAATCGTGTCATCCCAAGACGCCATTAAATGCAATCAAAACTCTAGTATGCAAGCTTGAGGTGCTTAGATGGGCAGGGGGAAGGTGGTGGCCCACTGAGCGATCTCAGACTTGAGCTTCTTGATCTCCTCAACCTCGCCAGAGGCGACCTTGGCCTTGAAGTCCTTGAGCTTGTTGTTGTCCTTGGGCAGGTCGGCCTGGACAGACTTGCAGACCTTGATGGCCTGGTCAATGTAGCCAGCAATGCGCTTGAAGTCGTCCTCGCCCATACCACGAGAGGTCATGGCGGGGGCACCAATTCTGATACCGTAAGGAGTCAGGGCAGACTTGTCGCTAGGGGTAGTGTTCTTGTTGCAGGCAATGTTGATCTGCTCGAGGACAGCCTCAACACGGGCACCGTCAAGGGAGAAAGGCTTCAAGTCAATGAGGACCATGTGGTTGTCGGTACCACCAGTGACAAGGGTGAAGCCGAGCTCCTTGAACTCAACCTCCAGGGCCTTGGCGTTCTTGATGACCTGCTGCTGGTATTGTCTGAACTCGTCGGACTGAGCCTGCTTGAGGGCAACAGCGAGAGCAGTGATGGTGTGGTTGTGAGGACCACCCTGGTGACCAGGGAAGACGGAGAAGTTGATGGGACCCTCGAGGTCGTAGAGGGTCTGGATCTCCTTGCCGGCCTTCATCTCGGTCTTGCGGACACCCTTGCGGAAGAAGATCATGGCACCACGGGGGCCACGGAGCGACTTGTGGGTGGTGGTGGTGACGATGTCGGCGTAGGGGAAGGGAGAGTCGTTGACGCGACCAGCGATCAGACCGGAGATGTGGGCCATGTCGACCATGAGGTAGCAGCCGACCTTGTCGCAAATCTCGCGGAAGCGCTTGTAGTCGATGGTACGGCAGTAGGCAGAGGTACCGGCAACGATGACCTTGGGTCTGTACATGAGAGCGTTCTGCTCGAGCTGCTCGTAGTCGATGAGGCCAGTCTCGAGGTTGCAGCGGTAAGGGAAGGTCTCGAAGTAGGTGGAAACAGCAGAGATCCTGTAGAGTATTAGAGGAAGGCTTCTTGAATGATTTGAGGGGAACCAATCACTTACTTNTCTCTGGGGAGTCTGGTAACCGTGGGACAAGTGACCACCGTGAGGCAGGTCGAGACCCATCAGACGGTCGTGAGGACGCATGATGGCCTGGTAGACCTGGAGGTTGGCGGGAGAGCCGGACAAGCACTGGACGTTGACACCCCACTTCTCAGAGTCAAGGCCGAAGGTCTCGAGGGCGCGAGCCTGGCAAGTGAGCTCAATGGCGTCAATGTGCTCGTTGCCGCCGTAGTAGCGGGCACCGGGGTAGCCCTCGGAGTACTTGTTGCTCATGGGCGAACCCAGGGCATCGAAGACAGCGCGCGAAGTGACGTTCTCCGAGGCAATCAGGAGGATAGACTCGCGCTGGCGCTGAATCTCCTTCTTCATGATCTCGGCGATCTCAGGGTCGGTCTCGACGAGAGACTTCTCCATGANGCTACGCATAGTCAGTACTCGAGCTCAATGGCAAGTGTCACGGTGAATACTGACATCGCGGTGCTTCTCGGAAAGGGCGTAAGTCGACATGATGTGTATATGTGTGTGTAACGACGAGAAGAAGTTGAGAGGAACAAAGAAGGGAGGCGACAGCTATGAGCAATAAGTAGCACCGTGGGGCAGGATTTTTGCCCATGCGGGCGTCTTTTGGCTTTCTGACCTGCTCCGGACGCGGAGTCCCAGTCTGGAAACATAACCCTACTTGGCAACCACGAATAAAACCACATTGTCCTTCCTCCTTCCACACATGGACCCATGATTGCGAGAGGGTGCTTGGTTATTCTACAGCGATTCACGGCAGTTCGTTTGGCCGGACTTTTGCTTCTCATGAGGCAAGAGCTTGCATCGTTGGCGTGGTTTGAAGCCGACTTTCATTCTCAAGGAGCTTTACGGAGCACCCGCTGCCGCAATCGGTGGCTATCGGTCCGCACAAACGCACTGACTCCGATCCTGACTCTCCTTCCCTCAACCTTTACCACCCAATTCGAGCCACTCGAGACTTGACGGGTGTGCAAGTTGGCCACTCCAACTAGAGTCGAGACAGAGGTCACTGCAACCTGTCTTGTACAATTTACTCGGCCATCTCATAGCAAACATGATTTTTGCTAGGTTGAAGCAAGCCTTCGAAACCTCAACTCTACTTACCTCCGATAGCCTGTACAGCCTTGGAGCAGACCTTGAGTGAGACCCTTGATGGTATCTTTTCATACAATCAGAAACATACAGCTGCTCGGCTAGAAACGGCATACTATAAAATCGTCGAGCTTTGAACTTATGACAGTGCTGAATTAATTGGTGACGCGGAAGCTATCCGACAACTGTATACCCAGGTTGGTAGTGTGCAGGCTTGAGAAAGATAGGCAACGCTTGTCTGTTGAGGAATCAACAGCATATCTTCAGGGATATGGCTGCCTACCTCAATGCTTGTTCAATGATACTCGATATGTCCTCGGGAGAATATGATCCTAGGCTATAGACCGCAGTCTGTCAAGAGCCTGTCATCATTGGGTGACTACGAGATACTTAGCTTGCTATCTCACATGAGTCTGGCCTAGGCAAAGCTATGCCCACTGTCTATGGTAGAATATATAGACAATGGGCAATTGAACAAAACATGTATCGCTGCCGCTTCTGTGGATCGAACACAGTGCCTCCAGAATACTCCTGTGATCAGGAAGACATGAAGTGGACTTCAGTCTGGCGCTCTCCCAGATGAGCTAAAGCGGCTTGTTGTTGGATGGTTGAAAATTGGTGGCTTTACAAAAGCGCCGACGCCGATGGTAGCGAGCTCTGGAGGGCCCAAGCATATAGTCTAGCATAGTGAATACCAGATCTCGTCATCATGAGGTGCGAAGCAGAAAGGAATATAACAGAGGACGGAGTGGCTGACAAGGCATTAGAGTCAGGAAGAAGTGGTTCGAGCGAGGTGGAAGAAAGACAAAGGTGCCAGGGTCAAGAAGTAGCTAGACGTCACATGCCAAATCGGGAAGAAATTGGAAAGCGCGAACATGAAATCGCGAGACGCGAGGCCAACCTTCACTTGTGACCGTCGAACAAAACATTGGTTGCTCTTACGACTTGGTCACTTTTTGCCTTTCTGCATTCACCTCCACGCTTAGATGCATCTCCTTTCTTCCATCACATCCACATCGATTGCATCCTTTCTCGATCATCAAAACCGCTGCATTTCTCCCATCATCATCTCATCACATCACATCCATCAACATGGCCGCCGTGTCGCTGCTCAACGTTGCTGTGCGCAACAACCCTGCCCCCTTCACCTCGCCCTACGAGTTCGAGATCACCTTTGAATGTCTTGAGAAGTTGGACAAGGATCTGGAGTGGAAGCTCACCTACGTCGGCTCTGCCACCTCGTGAGACTCCCAGACGTTCCCACCTTCTGACCCTCCTATTGACCTGCCTTTCCAGCTCCGAGTATGACCAAGAGCTTGACTCTCTCCTTGTCGGCCCCATCCCCGTCGGCGTCAACAAGTTCGTCTTTGAGGCAGACCCCCAGACCTCAACCGCATCCCCAACAGCGACATCCTCGGCGTCACTGTCATCCTCTTGACCTGCAGCTATGACGGTCGCGAGTTCGTGCGTGTCGGCTACTACGTTAACAACGAGTACACCGACGAGGCACTCATCGCCGAACCTCCCGCCAAGGCCGTTGTTGAAAAGGTCCGCCGCAGCATTCTGGCCGAGAAGCCCCGTGTCACCCGCTTCGCCATCAAGTGGGACAGCGAGGCCAGCGCTCCTGCCGAATTCCCCCTGAGCAGCCTGACGCCGACAACCAGGAAGACGATGAGGCCGCATACGGTGCTGAGGAGCTTGAAGAGGACGAGGTCGAGGTTGAAGGCGAGCCTGAAGTCAAGGAAGGAGAGGACGCTGAGATGGCCGAGGCCAACCCCGTCGAACAACCTAAGGAGGAGGACGAAGTCTCGGATGCTGGCAGCGAGGACATTGAAGCCGAGAGCAGCGCCAGCGAAGATGAGGACGAAGAGGAGGAGGAAGGTGAAGGCGAAGCCGAGGGAGAGGCTGCCGACGAGATGGACACTGACACCGCTGCCCCCACTGGCGCTACTGAGAAGTCCCAGCCTCCTCAGCAGCAGAGCGATGTTATGGTCCACTAGAAGATGCACCGACTTCTCATCTCTCTATGATTCATGCACGGCGCTGTTGGGAAAGGGATCAAAAGCTTCACGATAATGGTTTGGGAGTACGCATTTCTGGGTGTTTTTCTGTTTTAACTCAACGGAAGAGTTTACTTTTCGATTCGATACCACTTTAAGAATACATTGACACTGATCACATCATTCTATATTCCTGTTTCCTTTAGTTACTTGCAGACAATTGAGTATCGTATGATTGCAAGTTGGGATCGCATCTAGAGTACCTATCTCTCACTGAGAAGTAGAGTATATGTTCCCGCCTCTACTGCTGCTCGATAATGCCCAAGTATGATAGCGACGTTCCGCAGATGATAGTCACTTGATGTGGGAGGCCCTTCGGTTTGTGAGTTTAATGTTTTCTCGTTATGTGATCCTAGGCGATATCTTCTCGAAGTCGCACGTCGATCGTCCTTATACTAACGCGCGTGCAAGAAAGCGAGGAGGCCGCAATCCACCAAAATTCCTGAAACAAGTGGATGCCCCAAGCTTCCATCCGACCTTGGCGACAACGAATGTCTAGGCAGGCCACTTCTTTTGAGAACATGAGAGCAACTCCTAAATAATCACAACTTCTCATACCAACAAGAGAAAATGGCCAGCTTCATTCGAGGCAAACAGGCCGGTATTCAGAATGACCTTTCCGCCGGACTAACGCCCGAGCATGTCGCTATCGATGACATCGAGCGCTATGGAATCAACAGTCAGATAGGAGCCATCGCCTACGACCCCGTGCAATCACTGCTGGCAGTGGGCACGAAGGACAGCAAATTCGGACCTGGACAGATCTACATCTTCGGTAGAGGCAGAGTGGCTGTCACACTAGATCTACCTCAGCGAGCATCGGCCAAGCAGATACAATTCTGTGCCGACAAGCTGGTCTGTCTAGACTCGAAAAACGACTTGTCATTCTATTCGCTGGAGGCCAAGAAACTCATCGGATCTCATTCACCACCTGGTGTCGCTACGTGCATCGCGACAGATCCCGCACTGGACTATGCCTTGATTGGTATGCAGTCTGGAGATGTTCTTGCGTATGACATGGACAGGGAGGGAGCCGCTCCTTTCCGAATCCCAAATCTGTGGGCCGAGCGTGATTCGAGAGTACGAGTGTCCCCGGTCGTCAGTATCCAGTTCCATCCTAGAGATATCGGAAAACTGTTGATCGGCTACGTTCATGGTGCTGTCACCTTTTCCTTCAAACTAAACCAAGCTCAAAAGTTCTTCCAATATGAGGTCCCTGCTGGAGCACCAGGTGGTCATGCAGACCCTTCTTCGTCGAGAACCCCGCGCTGGCCGAAACTGACCCAAGCAGTCTGGCATCCTACTGGTACTTTCATTCTGACTGGACACGAAGACAGCTCGATGGTATTTTGGGATCCCAAAGATGGCAGAATCGTCTTGGCCAGAACGACTAGTGAAACACACATCAATGTTCCAGGCAAGGGTGCCACAACTCTTGGGTCGACAGTATCAGTAAAAGAGCCCATCTTCAAGGTTGCTTGGTGCGCAAACAAGGACCCTGACGATACTGCGCTTCTCATCGCCGGTGGTGCGGACACGACTATGCCAACAAAAGGCATGACATTCTTTGAGCTGGGCCGAACACCAAACTACGCCACTTCAAGTTGGGATGTCCTTGCTGACCACTTGGAGTCACCACGTCGACAAAGAGTGCTTCCAACACCACCTAATGCTGAAGTAGTTGATTTCTGCCTCATCCCTCGAGAATCGCCACACTTTGCTGGCGCTCAAGATCCTGTCGCCATCTTAGCGCTCCTGTCATCTGGAGAGGTTATCACGCTCAGCTTCCCCAGCGGAATACCCATTACTCCCACCAATCAGCTGCACGTGTCTATGAGTTTTGTTCATCCGTTTATTAGACGTGCAAATGTCACTACAGTCGACAGAGTCAGGTGGCTTGGTATGACCGAGACCCGCAACCAGGGCCCTCAGATCCTCAAGGGTGGCGTCGAGCAAACACATCCTCTGAAGCGATACGAAAACCGAAACATCATTCAAACAATGCATGCAGACGGCACGGTCAGACTATGGGACGCAGGTCACGGTGATGAGCTGGAGAATGACAAGGTCCTCGAAGCAGGTGTCGGTCGAGCTGTGGGACGAATCGAAGGTGTCGACATTACCAATACCTCTCTGGCAAGTGCGAGCGGCGAGTTTGCGGCAGGCACGAGGAGCGGTGAAGTTGCTGTTTTCCGCTGGGGCCACAACAGAAACTTTGGCCGTGATCTGCCCCCATCTGCTGGTGGAAACCGTCCTAATGCTCTCACCAACATTGTCGACAGAGCCGATCCAGGTCTGAAGGAGGGACTGTGTCCATTCACATTGCTTGACTTACAAAGTGGACCTATCACTGCAGTCAAGGTCAGCGAGGTCGGCTTCGTTGCTGCTGCTTCGGAAGGAGGCAAACTTGCTGTCATTGATATGCGTGGTCCTGCCATCATCCACCTTGGCACAACTGCTGAGTTTGGCAAAGGCGACAAACTCGGCACACTACGTCGTAAGAGCAGTCATCCGGCAGACAAGCCAGAGTGGGTAACGAAACTGGAGTTCAGTGTAAGTGTCGATGTACACTGGCAGCTCGTTCAACACTTACACATCTTTAGNGTCATGACTCTCGAGGACGAGAACTACTCCAGTGTGAACTTACATGCTGGTACTAATTTAGGTCGACTAGCAACATTCAAGCTCATTCCTGACAGCAGTGGACGTTACTGCGTCGATTTTAAGGGCGTAACCTCCTTCGATGGTCGCATCATCCACTTGTCACCCGTCGACACCCACACGGGCAGACCAGCATCCGCAACCCCTGACGCTGTAGCCAATCTCCGCAACGGCGTAAAGACTGACGGTGTTCTCGTCGCCGTAACCACAGCCGAGGCACGTATCTTCCGCCCGGCCACCTCAAAGGGCGCTCACAAGACTTTCGACAGCCACTCCTGCGAGTCAGCAGCTGTAGTAAGATTCCAAGATCAGGGTTACGTACTTGCTGGGTTGTTCGGTGATGGCACCGTGCGCGCTTATACACTGCCTGCGCTGAGAGAGCTGAATTCGATCAACATATCGCATATCCTGGACACCAGACGCTTTGCTGATTCCATCATCATTCCCAATGGCGACATTTTTGGCTGGACCGGTCCCTCTGAGATGGCTCTAATCAATATGTGGGGAACAGGCCAACTACTGTAAGTTCTCGAGCCAAAATCTTTGGCAACAGTGCTTGGAATACTGATCTGATCCTCGGTAGGCCANAAATCACTAGACAAACTCTTCAACCCCGAAGCTCTCATCCCTCCTCGCCCTACAATCTCAAACTTCCAATGGGTAGCAGGAACCCAATACGTAACACCCGCAGACATGGACATNCTTGAGTAACCTTTCCCTCCTCCTTCTCCTCTACCATAAACCCCACTAACACTTCCCTCAGTCGGCGGCCCTGACCGCCCACCCTCCAAACGCATGCTCGCCCAATCTCGCGCGGACGAAGCATCCCGTCTCGCTGCCTCCCGCCAAGCTACCTCTGCCTCTTCCTCAGCAGCTCAAGGTGCCAATGAAGGATGGGGTGCCTATATGCAACGACAACTTCAAGAGCGCACTGAGAAACTCAATATCATGGGAGACTCAATGGAGAATCTTGAGAATAATAGTCAAGGGTGGGCGGATGATGTGAGTAAGTTTGTTAACAAGCAGAAGAGNGGGGCGATGACTGGGTTGATTAAGAAGGGGTTTGGGTTTTAAGTGTGAGAGGCGAGAGGTGAGGGAAGAATATCAATTTCAAATTCCTTTCTGTTTTTGACGACTGACATGCTTATTGGATTTCACCATCTTTTTGAGCAAAACAGCAAAAGAGCATCCGAGACTTCTCTACTCATCACCCCCAGCAGCTCTAGTAATCATCTCACTAGCCAACTCAGCCTGTAACTGTGCATCCGCATCATCTCCGTAGATCTGTGCGCCATACATGCCCCCATGACTCTGTACCTCTTGCTGTGTAGCCTCATTTCCAAACGCAGAATTCGATGCACCCACACCCGCATTGGCAGAAGAATACATATCCGTCATGATAGCCGGGTCAACAGGGATACTCGAATAATCAAAGTGTGAGATGTCCATTTGGTCGTTTGAGGAGTGCTGCTCTTGCATGGCATTCTGGAGATTTGCGTTTTCGACGGTAGCGGGGGAGAGGAGAGGCGGTGCTTGTTCCACAGCGCCAGGGCTTGCTTGCGAGTGTTCAGAGGCTTTGGAAGGTGTACTTGATTTAGCAGGTTTGGCAGCTTCCTTGCAATTTGTGCAGTTGCGGATAGCTTGCGACACAGTTTCTTTGATGCGAATCCAATGGTAGCGCTCAGCAATCGACGCAGTGGTCTTGTTGATTCCTGCATGAGTTAAAGCATGTGTCTTTAGCGCAATCTCGTATTGCTTCTGGGGATCGCTGATGACTTCCTTGTCTTTGAGCATGAGTTTTTCTTCGCCGCCGCTGGGGTCGGGGACGAGTCGATAGTGGGCGCCCGCACTGCGGAGTCTGCTTTNTTCGGCGCGGTCGGCGCCGTTGGGGTAGTTACCTGTCTTGAGATAGTAGCGGATCTTGTCGAAGCGCTCTTCAGAGAGATAATCCTCAGCTTCGCCATTGAGATCGCGGCCAAAGATGATGGCGTCAACAAGATGATCAGCAGACTTGAGGTTGCCACAGCCAGGCACACGACCAATGCGCTTAAAGCCCAAAGCATCCCAAATCCTGACCGAGGCAATGTTGGTCTCGTAGACGAGATTGAAGACCGAGTACGAGTAGCCGAGTTGAGGAGCCCACTCAAGGTACCCTTCGCCCATCAAGCGGCCCACACCTCTATTTCTCGCGACATCGCTGACCAGGAAGCCGCCGTTGCATACATGGCTAGAACGGCCAGGGTAGTTGGGCTTGATGTAGAAACTGCCCAGACACTGCTTGGACCAATCGACGCCCTCTTTCTCCATCTGCCACACATGGTCGACATTGCTCACATCGCCCAACAGCATGACAGCGCCAAAGTTGGCAAACCAGTAGGGACCGAATGACTCGAGGGGCAGCTCATTGATCATAGGGTACGTGTCGCCGCCCTCAATTTCGCGATTGAGGAGAGCACATAGGTAGTGGAGCAGCGTCTTGGGCACCTGGTCCGGAGAGGAGAAAGGCACGAGGGTGGCAGTGGTTGAGCGATCGCGCAGAGTGACCTGGCGAGGGACAATGTTGGCGGGCAGCGGGGCATATGGTGTGGGATAAGGCGCATCGCCAGATGTGCGGTAGATGGCGGGCGCCGTGGGGTCATCCAGCATTGCAGGCATCGTCGCGTCTTTCTACAAGTTCCTGCGTGTCAGCCATGTCGAGCGTGCAACTACGGTACTCGTGCATCTTTGGATACAAGAGGAAGGAGCGAGCGACTCACGATNGTGGATAATAGGTCCGATGTNACTCGAGTATGCTGGAGACCGTCGCTGGTCCCACATCTACACTGAGCCCGCGCCCTTGCGACGACATGCACGTGACCTGTCTCTCTCACTACTGACTCACAACACCATCACTTGCTTCTGCCTCATCAACATCTCAAACACTAACAGGAAACTCTCATGCATATGTACTGGTGGTTGCATTTTGAGCGTTTAATTCTAACAATGACAATAACCAGTTCCCAAAATGTCATCTCGCCGAAACTGAAAAGAATAAACAGCAAACAAATAAACATCATCGTCTTGCCCATAAACATGAGCAATTCTGCCTGACAGCAGACACTGAACTTGGCAACTGTTTTATACAGACACGCCAACAAGACGTGGTGAATTCCATGATTTTGACGCCAAAACTTCCCCCAATTCTATTATGTGACTTTGTCCACAATTCCCATCTAGTACATGAAGTGGGCAAAGCGACGCGCTGCTGCAGATGACTCTGACGAGCTGCCGCCCGATGTGGCAGCAGCGGTTGAATCTCCCAAGATGGTACCAGTCGTCTGGCTGGTAGTGTCGTTGTTCTTGAGGTTGGTAGGCTGCATCAATTGCATAGGCAATGTATCGATCTCCAGGTTCAAGAACTTTCCAGCAACCATAGGTGCAACAATGAGCACAATGAAGAGGATGAACAGAGTGAAGTACAGGATGGCGTAACGGATTGTACGACGTCTGCGAAGCTTCGACTGCTTGAGCGAGTAAATCGGAGGACGAATCTGGCGACNTGTGACGATTTTGTTAGTAAATACTCATGTCGATGGAAAGGGGAAAACATACCTAGGACGAAGCCAGAAGAGCATGACCGAGTGGAATGTATCAATGTAAGGAATCAAGAGGGGAGGCAGCATGAAGAACAACAGCAGGTGACCCAAGCAGAAGTCCGACGAGAAGTATCCCAACTCGGTAATCTTACACAAGAACTCACGACCAGGCTGAGAGAAGCCCATCCAGCCCATGCCGTACCATTTACCAGTCCACCAAGCAATGTTGGAAGAGTCGGTTCTGAACTCACGAGTGAGCGTCAGAGCAATGATGAGCTTGTAGATGAAGCGCTGAATGGCGAGCGATGCGATCATGCCGATGAGCATCTTGGNGAAGCTCCATCCCTCAAGGAAGAACATGACTTCCCACATGACGATGAGCACGATGACGGCGATGGCGTGAGCAATGGCGGCCAAGACAGCACCGAACTTCTTGCAGCACATGCTGAAGAGAGGTCCCATACAACAAGCCATCATGAAAAACATGGCCGCGACACCAGCGTTGATACCGATGGGAGCAAATGCCACAATAGCAATACGAATGATGGCGTTGCGAGGCTGGAGTGCGGCATTGCTTGCGTCAGGGTTGTTCTTACGAGTAGCTCCAGTTCCAGAGTTGATGTAGAGGTAGGGAATGAAAGTTACAGCAACGAGGAAAAGCGGGCCAATAACCTCAGCAAAGAAGACATTACCGAAACGGGCACGCGAAGTATCTCCAGACAACTTGGCCGACGGCTCACCGAGCACCTTCTTCTTAAAACCGGTGATGCGGGTACGCGAAAGACGAACGAATCCGATCCAAGACGCCGAGTGGCCCTTGGTGTTTCCACGAGACAACCATCTGAGGAACTCACGGTAGTCGATGAAGAAATCGCCCCATGCGAACTGGTGAGGGTTGAAGAGGAAGGGAGCAATACAGAGAGCGAGAAGCGAAACCCAGAAGTAAAGAAGCCAGTATCCCCAAATGGTCAGAGTACCGAACAGAAGCATAAGAAGCAGACGGATACCCAGGTAGATTGAAGGAGCAGCGAAACGCGAGTAGAGGATACCGAAAGGCATACGGGCAGTGGCGAAACCACGACCGGTACCAATGTAACGAGCACCACCATATGACAAGTTCTGTTGGAGAGCGTTGGTGTAAATCTGACAGACGAAGACTTCGAAGAGGGGAGAGAAAGAGGAGAAGTGCTTGGCGAGACGAGTAGCTGCACGCCAGAACCCACGCTCAGTCAATTCCTGGACCGTAAGAGGAACGAAGGAGATAAAGAAGACGATAAAAATGGAGACACAGCAACGCTCGATCCAGTCAAGACAAGGGCGCAAGTTAGCACAGCCTGTGGGCCACTGCTCATCAGTGATAGGAGTGTTCCTGTTGTAACGGCAGATGATGGTTTCGTGTCTGAGGGCACCAAGGTTGAGGATACAGAACATGAAGAGCTGCACCGACAACATGATGAAAGTGTTGTTTACGTGGAAACCAGCGTGAGCGTAGTAGAAAGACAAGAAGCGGTCCAGAGGGAGTTGAGTGCCGAGGTAGTAGTATTCACGAGAAAGCATCTGCTCACCCATACCAGTACCAATCTTGGTGGTGAAGTTGAGAATGGATCCGAAACCCAAATCACGGCCCTTACCACACTGGTAGTATTCGCAGTGCTTGATTCTGCCACCACGGAGCTGAGCAGTCATACCGGCGTAAATATCCTCGTTCAGATGCAGACCCTTCTGAGCCTTGGATACACCACCACGGGTAGTCATGAAGATACCGTTGAGGAAATCGGGGTGACCATAATGGAGCTTACCGCCAATCTCGGCGAGAGTACGAGCGAAGAGAGTACCGAATGTCTGTTCCTTTCCGGCAGCAACGTCACCGAGAATACCGATGTTCTCTGAGAAAATGTACTCGCGAGCACCGAGAATGGCAACAGGGTCAAACTTGGGAGTGGCGAGACCAGGAGTGTAAGGAGAGACGTTGTCAGTGGTCATTTCTTCGAACTCGGCAAGGACAGAACGAATCTTCAAACATTCCTCCAGGTAGTTGTCCTGGTTAGCGTCGATGAGTTGGATATACTCACCACGGTAGAAGATGATAGAGTGGTTCTGGTTGTCAGACTTGCCGTCACCAAGAATAGGGTTACCAGAAAGCATGATGCGGAACTTGGGCTTACGAAGGCCGTTCTCCATGATTTCGGAGTGACCATCGATCAGAGCAGAGTAAAGGCGAGGGTCTTCACCTTCGTTGGCCGGAGGTTCTTCATCAAGGTACGCAATCTGGAGGTCGGGGTAGGCACGGAGCAGGAACTCAGCGTTCTCACGCTCTTCCTTGGTGAATTTGGCGTAACGCTGCATGGAAACGCAGATCTTGAACTTGCGACGAGCCATGCGCTCCAACTCTCTCTCGAGCTTATCAGAGTTGCCACCGAACATTTGGACGACCTCGGGGTTCTCAACACGATACAGCAGCTTGATGGCACGGCTGTAGTTCATGAAACCAGAGATGGTACGGTAAAGGGTCTGAGAACGGAGCGATGCCCAGATACGAGTGCGGAGGGTGTACTCGGGAGCAGCAGACTTGAAACCAATGCAGTAGAAGGGAAGATCGTCGATCTTGGCCTTAGCAGTGTCCTTCTCGTTCTTCTCGTACTCGCCGTTAAATTGCGAGGTCTCATCAGCCAGAATCTTGGTGTCCTTAACGAAGCAGTCCCACTCATGAGGGTGAAGCTGCTTGAGGTACTCCAGCATGGTAACACGAGAGTAAGGGTCGTCCTCACGGATGATCTCACGAAGGGAGAGAAGGATCTTCTCACCGTAGTGGGGAATCATGACGGAGAAAGTAGGCATGTTGTCGACAGGGACAGGCTCGGGGATGGGGGTGGACAGCGACTGAGCGAAGAAAGAGATACGGCGCTCGGCTTCACTCTGGCTAGGGAAGAACTCGGTCTTAAATGAGTGATCTTCCTGGGAAACGAAGAAAGTGGGTGCTCTGAGAGTGCGCTTGCCCTCTTGCTCTGAGGGAACCTGGTGGTAAAGAAGCTTCTGGACGTGGTCGATAGCAAGCAAATGCTCACGGTACATCGAGATGATGATGGCGTTCCAGATCTGCGAGATCAGGACCTTGGGCTTGTACTTGATCTCCATGTCAGTGGTTGCAAGAACCTTGGAGTAGATACGCTTGGGCAAACGGGAGAAGATGTTTCTCCAAGGAGTCCAGATGGAAACACCAAGGTAGAAAGAGCGAGCAACCGAGTACACAGTGTTCAAAATGATGTACCAGAGATAGGTGTCCAAGAAGAACAAAATCAGATCAGTGATGTACATCAAAACGAGAGTGACTGTGGCTTGGTGGTAGCACAGAACATCGCCAAGGTAGACAACACCAATGCACGACTTGATCTTAAGGGTCGACAAGATACGGATGGGGTCGCGCAACGACAGAGTGAGGTAGAAGTAAGACTCTGCGAGCTTGGCACCGAAGACCATGATCCAAAGACCGTAGGACATCCACATAGCATTGCCCTTAAGGTGAGGCCAGCTGGCAGTGAACGTCTGACTAGCGACGTAGCGACGAGACTTTCCAGTGAGGTAGCTGCCAAAGAGACCGCCCAGAGGCATGATCGAGAAGAAGAAGAAGGTGACCAAGGCAATCAAGAATTGCACGATACCGAGAATCAGCGCGATCTTGCCCTCGCTCTTCACACCGAAAATGTATACGGCGGGAGCAACGTTGATGACGAGGACGAGGAGGAGGAAGAGGAGACGCTTGGTCAAGTGCTGAGCACCTGCCCACTTTCTGGGGACGTATGACCACTCGGCGAGCGTGGCGAAAACCATAATAAGGGATGCGACAGTACCACCGAGACCGACAGCGGAAAAGTGAGCAGGAGTGGTAGGGGNGTTGTTGCGTTGCTGCTCGTAGTTCTTCGTGTAGAGTGTAGGCGAATTGTAAGAGGTGTAGAACCAGTAAGCAGTGACGTGGATAACCCAGATACGGTTGAAGTTGACCAAGTTGTGGAACCACGATCTGGTCTCCTTGAAAGTCTTGAAGAAGCACTTCTTCCAGATGACGTCCTGAAGTCTCTCGTA